TCGATAGCCAAGAAGTGGGAGTGCATCTTAGTGAAGCTTCTCACAGTAGAGTAGAAAAATATAACAAGAGTAACTGATGTGCAACCTTGATGAGGCTGGGAAGCAAGCTTTGATCCCAGAGAAACTACAAATGAGGATCATGCAAGAAATGTTTGACGAGCTAGAGCAAGTTCTTTATTCAGGCTAGATATCAAGCCCATGAAAGACAACATTTAATAGTATTGTGCATCTCCTACACCATCACATTCGAAAGCAAGATACCAGCTATCGTAGAGCAGTTTTTGTGCAAATCTGGGTTGCTTGTACTTTGTACAAGCTATGAAACGGAGCAGAAGTATATCACACTCTTAGAGCTCTACAGAATCAGCGAAAGTACTGTGACTAGGAATGAGACTTGTAAGGCAATCGTTGATACTCTTGAAGACTTATCAAGTTCTTGGAAGATTTCGCTGTGGTTATCCAGGGTTTCCTCACATGCAAGCTTCCAAATGTTGTACTTGAGATCATGGAGCAAGATGAAGATCCTGGGGTGTATGTCAAGCACCATTGATTTAGCTTTGTTATGTAAGTAATCATCACCAGTAGAAAGTGGCTTATTGACATATGTTGCAGGTGGCCAGATTCTATACATACTGTCAGTATGGCTTAATTCAGCATTTCATGTCTTCAACAAAAAGAGATCATGTAAGCTCCAACAGTGGAAATTCCTAATCAAGCTGGGCTAGATCCTCTTCTATTGTACCTCATTAATTCACAGGCTACTTGTGTTGTCCATGTTGAAAACTAAGGAAGAAAAGAAAAAAACTCTATTGCTCCGAGATCAGTATGCGAAGGCTAAAAAAAAAAGAAACTAATGCTAAACCACTGGGAACCCTATCTCACTCCCCCACTCAGCCAGAAAAGCTGAGCTCATGAAATCAGCATCTTGTGGTGTTGAACAGCAGCAGCAGCATGGTACCCAAGCTTGCACACACCCCAGCTTGTATCAGGACCCGTCAGGAACCAGCTCCATCTCCCCCACTCGAATGTGATCTCTCCATCAGCCTCAAGGCCCTTTCGCACAGCAATTCCACGCCTAGTGCCCAGCAAGAAGAGAGGCCTCTTGGCAGCATCAGCAAATCTCCAGCCCAAGGAAGCCTTCCCTTGTAGCAGCAGGGACATCAGATCGTCTCCAGCGGCAGCAAGCAGTGCCGCAACCCTTTCAATTCAAATCCAGGCTGGAATCGATCATTAACTGAGCGAAATTAGGGTTTAGGCGAGCGAGCAAGCGATTTCAGTTGGGGAGCAAGGTCTTCAGCTTGCCAAAGGTCACGGCTGTAGAAAACAGGTGAGCTCATTCTTTTCCTCGTAAGTTTTGCTGGCCAGGGTAAGGTGAAGCATGTTTTATGCCAGGACATCAACATCCAGAAACTACCGGTATTCCGCTGGAAAATATCCGCCAACGATGCTCATGTATCGAACTTTGTTTTCCACAGCAACCCGGATACGCTGCAACAAAACGATGTGAATCAAGGAGATGGAAACGAAAGAAACGAAGAGCTTCATATGTACGAACCTGCAGCCACACGTTGGTGCCTTCCAGCATGTTCGTCAAGGTCATGCCCAGCTCACTCTTTGGTGGTGTTATGGCCATCATACCGTGGAGGTTCTGTGAAAGCTGCTCCAGGATCCTCATCTTCCGAGGTGATGCCCATCCATTGACGTCTTTCAACAGCAAGACGCCAATCTCGTCGATCCAGACCAGCCTGCGAGCAGTGTCTTCCGTGAAGTTGGTGTTGATTTTCTCGGCCAGTGCCATGAGCATCGATTCACTGAAGACAAGCAGCACGGTATGCTCTACCTGAGTTGACAAAGGACGGGCGTGATCAGCGGCCAGAGAGCGTAAACAGATTACCTTGGTGCAAAGCCACCAGACTGTGGAAGGATCGTTCAGGGACAGAGCTTTCTCGAAGGCGTTTATGATGAGGCCGTTCTTTACCAGTTCGAAGAGCTCGGTCCTTTGATCTGGTTTTGGTAATGGTGCGACCTGGTGAGGACGGTGTGGTACCGGCTGAAACCAAAGGTGGTGAGCTCCAGAAGTTACATAAAGCAAAAGAGTTTACCTGGACACGACAAGGCGGGGGATTTTGGGTCCAGAGCTTCTCAGTCGCTTGGACAAGAGAATCCAGGTTCACTCGAGTCCTGCTGTGCAACGAGGACAAGGAAGACGACGAGTACGAAGAAGAGGAAGATGACCTGGCTGCTTCAACCTACTTGGCTCGTAGCTCGTCGATGGAGTCGGTGCCAGTGATGATCCTGGACTTGAACTGCTTCAGCCGCTTGCAGATATCGGAGAAGGAAGGCCTCTCTTTTGCATCGTGGCTCCAGCATTCCCGCATGAGCTGCGACAGGAACTCTGGACAGGTGGCTGGTATCTCAGGACGCTCGCCTCGAAGGACTTGCTCCATGTCCATCCCGACCTTGAACGGAGTGTTTCCAGTGACAAGCTGGTAGCTCAGCATCCCGTAGCTGTAAACGTCGGCCTTCTTCGTGTAGCGCTCGCTGGTCCACACTTCTGGTGCCATGAAGTTTCTGGTGCCTTGCTTGGGGGTGGCTTCGCTGATGAGGGAGGAGATGAAATCGGGCCTCGAGACTCCAAAGTCGGCAATCCTGATACTCACGAGATCGTTGTCTTCTTCGCCAACCAAGATGTTCTGCGGCTTGAGGTCCCGGTGGATTACGTTCTTCAAGTGAAGCCAAGCCATGCCAGTAGCGACTTGGAGCATCACTGCCACGATCGACAGCAACGAGAGGGAGTTCTTCTTGAGGAGGTAGTTTGCCAGGTCCATGTCCATCTTCTCCATCACCAGCGAGTACTGCCGCTTCTCTCCATCGAAAGAATGGCCGGCAATGTGCAACACGTTGGGATGCTTGTGAGCTCCGAGAACCGCGAGCTCTTTGGCGAAGCTGGTGTCACCTTGAGCGAAGACTTTCACCGCGAACTTGTGACCGAGCCACATTGCTTCGTACACGGTTCCGTAAGCTCCTTGTCCCAGGTGTGTTCTCAGCTTGAGTTCCTTGTGGTTGATCACTGACTTGTTTCCCAGGAGCATGGAGCAGTGTATCTCTTTGGCTCGTTCTGTCTCGGTCGTCAGGCTTCCTGGTTCTTGGTTCATTGCGAGAGTCATGAGCTCCTTCCGATCGTTCCTTCCGGCTTCTTCCAGCATGCTGCTCGAGTTTTGCCTCATGAGGCACGAGTTGTAAGCCTCGGCAATCCTGGATCTGTGCGAGGTGGACGGTGTCAGCTGAAAGAGATAGACGCTGACGAGCTCGACGCAGTTGTAGATCTCGTGGTAAATGCCCTGGAACTCATCGCAGCTTTCCTCGAACAGCAGGCTCCGGGCGATCCAATCGCCCTCTTGGCATGACTTGAGGAGATGGAGGCCTCTGTTAAGGACAGCCACGGTTTCGTCCCACACGAAGGCTGGCCCGTTGCTCGCGAAGTTGAGATCCTGGATTTGCTTGAGGTAGTCTCGGACATAGCCGACCGCTGCGATGAGGATCCTACATTGGTTTCTACAGACCTTGCTCGAGTTTGTGTTCGTGGATCTTGTGCCAACCTTGTCCGCGATTCGAATCGCCTCGAGCAAAGTCGCTGCTGCCATGCTCGTTGGTGATCACCACTAGCGCCGCTCCATTTCTTTGCAGAGTGGGAAAAGTCTACCGTTGACTTTTCTTTTTGAATATTCTAAGTCCTAAGTCTTGTCTGGGATACTTTAATCAGGTTAATGGCTTTTCTTGTTTCAGTACTCCAAACAGGTTGTTTAGGATTGGACGGCCAGGATACCCTAGTTTCCGCCCTGCTAGTTCACTCTCGCATCCCGGTAGCATAGCGTTTGACGACAGTATCCTGCATCCCCACCAGTGGTTTGCACGTAACGTCTTGAGCGCCTGTCCAGAAACTTTGGCTTGTCTTTCGGATTCTTCTTGGCGCAGCGAGCACAGGTTGCGCGCTCGACCTCGTCAATCGTGGACTTACGAGAGACTAGAAATGGATCATGCTGTTCTTGTTCTAGTTCGATTCTGTTCTGCAATCGATATTTCGATAGGGTTCTTGAAGTGGAGCTCGCTCGTTGCGCCTCTACATCCACGAGGTCTACGCCAAGAAGAGCCCCAAGGATCTGCCGACGCAGAATGTTCGCACCTATGGCCCGATTGGATCGCGCAATCTCACGCGAAGGAAGGGATCAAGAGCAGGCGCTTGCTCGTGTGGCTCCGGAGCAAATTCCTCGTCCACACGCAGTGCTTGCACGGCGAGGGCGCCGGCTCCAAGAATCCGGGCAAGCGCAACAAAGCGGGAGGCGGTGGTGGTGGTCACGCGAACGATCGGATTTTCAGGTGGGTTGCTGTGCCTCCTCCGGATCGCCTGCCGCTCGCCGATCCCAAGATTCCCGAGCCGCAAGTGTACCGGAGGAGAGTGATCCAGAAGCGCTTGAAGGCCAAGCTGGGCGATGCGTACGTTCGTCCAGCCAAGCTCAAGAAGCAACGGCTAGCTGCCGGGATCGTCTACAAGCCATACAAGTATGGGGATCCCGAGAAGTTGAAAGCGGCAAAATCGTTCTTTGAGCGGAGAGCGATGATCCTACGAGAACTACTGGTGTCTGCGCTGCGGCGGAAGCTGCCAAGGCTGCTACTGCTGCTGCTAGATCGAAAAGGTTGGGATCTTCACCGTCTACTCGAGTTTAAGAACTAAAGAATGGTGAAACCTTTGTGCTTTGATATTTATCTCGTAAGTTTCCTTCACATTTTCCCCGGCAGGATGAGACGAAGTTACGAATGGGAATTGGTAAGTTCTTTATGGTTCTTTCGTGAATCATGGTTGATACTTTTGGCAGGCAGAAAATTAGATCTCAATACTCACAAACTACCAGTGTTCTGCTGGAAATATATAGCTGTTTTATTTCACATCATAAGTCCCTGTTTTCTTTTCCCTTTCTTCTCAGCTTTGCTGTTCTCAACTCGGATATGCTGCGACGACAAACGATTTGAATCAAACGAATAACACGAAGAGTTTCATACGTACATGAAGACCCATGTTGGTATCTTCCAGCGCTTTCGCCAGCTTCATCCCCAGCTCGTTGTTTGGCGGTGTTATAGCCATCATGCCGTGGAGGTTCTGTGAAAGCTTCTCCAAGATCCTCTGCATCCGAGGTGATGTCTGTCCATTGACATTGTCGACGAACAGCAAGATGTCCAGGATATCCTCGATCCAGAGCAACCTGGGAGCAGTGTCTTCCTTGAAGTTGGTGTTGATTTGCTCGGCCACTTCCATGAGCATTGATTCACTGAAGAGGAGCAGGACGCTTTGCTCCACCTGAGCTGACAAAGGTTTGATGAGCAGCTGGAGAACGTGAATGGATTACCTTGGTGCAAAGCCACCAGACCGTGGAAGGATCGTTCAGGGACAGAGCTTTCTCAAAGGCGTTTTTGACGAGGCCGTTCTTCACCAGTTCGAAGAGCTCGGCCCTGTTATCCGGCTTTGCTGCTGGTGCGACGTGCTGAGGACGGTGTGGTGCCGGCTGAAACTAAAGGTGGAGTTACTAAAACCAAAAGAGTTTACCTGGACAACGGGAGATGGAGGATTTTGGGTTGAAAGCCCTTCAGGTGCTTGGACAGGAGAATCCAGGTTCACTCGAGTCCTGCTGTGCGACGAGGACGAGGAAGACGACGAGTACGAAGAAGAGGAAGATGACCTGGCTGCTGCAACCAACTTGGCTCGTAACTCGTCGATGGAGTCGGTGCCAGTGATGATCCTGGTCTTGAGCTGCTTCAGCCGCTCGCAGATATCCGAGAAGGAAGGCCTCTCTTTTGCATCGTGGCTCCAGCATTCCCGCATGAGCTGCGACAGAAACTCTGGACAGGTTGCTGGTACCTCAGGACGCTCGCCTCGAAGGACTTGCTCCATGTCCATCCCGTCCTCGAACGGAACGTTTCCAGTGACAAGCTGGTAAATCAGCATCCCGTACCTGTAAACGTCGGCCTTTTTCGTGTAGCGCTCGCCGCTCCACACTTCCGGTGCCATGAAGTTCCTGGTGCCTTGGATGCTAACGGCTTCGATCTGGGAGGAGATGAAGTTTGGCCTCGAGACTCCAAAGTCGGCAATCCTGATACTCACGAGATCGTTGTCTTCTTCGCCAACCAAGATGTTCTGCGGCTTGAGGTCCCGGTGGATTATATTCTTCGAGTGAAGCCAGGCCATGCCAGTAGCAACTTGGAGCATCACTGCCACGATCGACAGCAACGGGAGAGAGTTCTTCTTCTTGAGGAGGTAGTTTGCCAGGTCCATCTCCATCTTCTCCATCACCAGCGAGTACCGCTGCTTCTCTTCATCGAAACAATGGCCGGCGATGTGCAACACGTTGGGATGCTTGTCCGCTTCAAGAACCGCGAGCTCTTTGGCGAAGCTGGTGTCACCTTGAGGGAAGACTTTCACTGCAAACTTGTGACCGAGCCAGATTGCTTCGTACACGGTTTCGTAAGCTCCTTGTCCCAGGTGTGTTGTCAGCTTGAGTTCCTTGTGGTTAATCACTGACTTGTTTCCCAGGAGCATGGAGCAGAGTATCTCTTTGGCTCGTTCTGTCTCAGTCGTCAGGCTTCCCGGCTCTTGGCTCATTGCGAGAGTCATGAGCTCCTTCCGATCGTTCCTTTCGGCTTCTTCCAGTATGCTGCTCGAGTTCTGCCTCATGAGGCACGAGTTGTAAGCCTCGGCAATCCTGGATCTGTGCGAGGTGGACGGTGCCAGCTGAAAGAGATAGACGCTGATGAGCTCGACGCAGTTGTAGATCTCGGGATAAATGCTCTGAAACTCATTGCAGCTTTCCTCGAACAGCAGGCTCCGCGTGATCCAATTGCCTTCTTGGCACGACTTGAGGAGATGGAGACCTCTGTTAAGGACAGCCACGGTTTCGTCCCACACGAAGGCTGGCCCGTTGCTCGCGAAGTTGAGATCCTGGATTTGCTTGAGGTAGTCTCGGACATAGCCGACCGCCGCGATGAGGATCCTATGTTGGTTTCTACAGACCTTGCTGGAAGTGGATATTGTGCAAAGCTTGTCCACGATTCGAATTGCCTCGAGCAAAGTCGCTGCTGCCATGCCCGTTGGTGATCACTACCAGCACCGCACCATTCTTGTAAAGGTATAGCGTGGGAAAAGTCTACCGTGGACTTTTCTTTTTGAATAATTCTAAGTCCTAAGGTAAATTTTTTTTTTTGTCTCGGAATCATACTTTAATCAGACAAGAAAAATTGTGTAGGCTCTTGATGACAGTAGTGAGAGAAGATGGTCACAAATTTATTCATCAGTTGCTATTTAAAATATAACATACCCTTGAGCAATGTATATTTCTACCCTTAAATTTGAAATTGTAAATATTATATCTATGTTCTTCCTTTTATAAATGAAATAACTAATTATCCACCTGTATTGCATTAGGATCCATTTTTTGTCCATAAATGTTATAAAATAACTAATTTACACAATAGAAGGATTGATAAATTTTGGCTCAGTAGAGGTTGTTAGTTAACCTTACTATTGATGTTAATAAAGGTTTGATTAGTTGAGCAATCAAATTATAATAAAAACCTAGTAGTGCCTGGTGCATTCCAAAATCTTGGTATTGGTTTCAAAATTGAAACATTTAATTTTTATCCTTTCCAAAGTGTGAGTGTAGTGTTTTGCTCTTGATTAGCAAAAGAAAAGTAGATTCTTTATTTATTCTCAATTAATAATACTTAAATCTAGCAAGTAAAATATCTCAAGAAGATGTTCACTGCTCCTTCTGTTGCTGGTCTACATAGTGCTCACCTTGGATATACAAAATGGGTCTTAGGAAATGTGGAGTGTTTGCCCAAATTGTAAGAGGTTTCAACTTCTCTAAGGTCTCGGACACTAATCTGTCATGCAAGATCATCAAAAGTCTAGTGTCTTTTGATTCACAAGCCATCACAAGGACTGCAGCAATTATCTCATTGTTAGACTTTCCCCAAGCTCAATAGGGCATCTTTCAAAGCCATGGACGAGCAGCTTATCTCCAAGATCCCTCCCACACAGAGCTCTTGAGACAGTGCCAGAGTCAACTTGTCTTGAGGGAAGTTGGAACATTCCCTTAATATTCCCACTTAAGCTAAGCTGTCTGCACCCATTGCTTCTTCCAAGGGGAACTTCATTCTTATGACTTTCCTCCTTGTTAGTAGCTCAAGGTCCCAACCAATGGATTTGCCATATTGGCACTCCAACTGGATCCACTATTGCTGCTGTCTCCAACACCATCCCCACTTGATGCATCATCCTCATTGTCACCATCCTCACCTCCAACTGCACTATTATATGTGCCCTAATTGTCCCTTTTGACTTCAGTCAAGGAAAACTGTTTCAGTGGTTAAAGATCTTGTGTTGTATATGTCCTAGACTCATTAAATATGACAACTAATGATCATCTTTGAACCTTGTGGTTCCTGAACACCACTTGCAAAGACTCACATTCAGTTTAATGCTATACCAAACTTTATATGGTGTTCTACTTGACATTAATGAGGTAAGTTGGCTAAACTGCTATTGGCTTTGCATATCAAATTCCAAAGCAAACTTAAGTCTTGTTAGTGAGCTCTTGTTGCCTCCTAGAGTGTGATGATTTACACTTGCTAATATTGGGAACTCTTATAATGTGAAGCTTGGTCCTCTATATTTGCTAAGTGATAGTTTACTGTGTTTGTCAAGATACTTTTGATATCATTCTTTATGTGTTGGTCTCGTTTGGTCTTATTTGAAAAGTGTTTAGATTTGTTAATTGGGCATATTTACAGATTTAAAGATTATCTTAAACATAATAGTGTTGTTCCCATATCCAAAATCACAATCTAACATCATTTTATATTTAATAAATTTTTGTGATTGTCCTAGAGAGAAACTCCTAAGGCTGGGTAAAAGCCCAAAATGTGCTTTCATATAAGGTAAGAGGAGGAAATTAATTCTAGGAAATAAAAAGATTTTTTTAAAGGACAAATGTTTGCACAAAGTGGAAGGAGTTAACATGATTAACATGAAGTTAAGCTATGTAAAAAGTTATTTTGAGGTGTATCACTATTGCAAATGTGATTGTGAGCATCAAACTTTACCTATCAGTCTTTCTAAATATTTTTCTTTTATTACCATGATAGTAGGAAGTTGATATTGCTAGAGTTTCCACCCACACTAGTTAAGAGGCTAGTCAGTATACATGTAGATAATTTAGAAGGGCACAAAAGAATGATATCCTAAATTATCATTTAATATAGCATATTTAATATGAAATTCATATGGTTAAATTACATTTACTAGTGTTAGGAACCCCTTTGATATTAAGCTCAGCCTTTCAGTATTCATTATGTAATAATTTATTATATTTGCCAAGACACATTTGGTTAAATTAACTATTTAAGGAAAGTGTTTAGATTTGCTAATAGAAATTATTTTAAACATCTATAATAATAAGAACGAAGAACCCACACCCCCGCAGCCGTCCGATCCCCGGGCCCGGGGCAGCCTCGGAAGCCATGGTCCTCGGGAAGGGGAGGCCAGCCTAGGCTCGGGCCATGGCCAATGGCCATGGTTAGCGGGAATATGGGCTTAATGTTGTGGCGGCCAATGGGTGGGATGCACGTGTGGCCAGGAAGGGAAGAGGGCGTGGTGACAGGTGTTATGCCATGCACTCCTAGGGTTCCATGGCTGCTCGGTTGTGTGGGCATTCCTGTGAGAGCCTGTGCGTGGTTAGTAACAGGGGCGAGCAGAATGGTAGTCGGGCACACAATCCAGGCTCCTCTCGGGATCAACATTGGCTCATCTCCAACTCAGCAAAGCTTTGATCCCTGTTCGCCACTGCCTCACGAGCTCTTTGGCCTACAGGAAAGCAATTATCAAGGACACTCCCTCTTCATTCCCGAGACTTGGGTCACAGTCGAGCCCCGTGCCGATGCGTTTGTCATCAGCATCGGTGACACATTCCAGGTAAACAGAGCGAGAATTCTTTTGTTTCTGCTCTTCCCTCTCCTCTCCCTCCTCGCAGCGCTATAGCTGGTTGTAGATGGTGGTGCTCTTCTTTTTTCCTTTTCTTTTTATAAAACATCTCTCACGCAGCTTTCTCTTCGTCACAGGCACTGTGCAACCATCGCTACAAGAGTGCCAAGCACCGCGCAGTGATCCATGCCACCCGAGCCAGGCACTCGCTGGTTTTCTTCATCAACCCGGGGCTGGACATGGTGATCCGGCCGATTCCAGAGCTGGTGGTCAAGAGCAAAGAAGACGAAGAGCAAGATCGCAAGAGGCCGTGCGTGGAGTTTACTTGGGGGCAGCTGCTAGAATTCACCCAGAAGCACTATAGAACCGATGTCCACACGCTGGACGCGTTTGAGAGCTACTTGAGGAAAACGAGCCAAGCAGCGTGAGGACGGACAGGGAAGAACGAATGTAAATTTGCCAAAGATCATCGAGCAGAGGAGGAGCCTACAGGAAAGCAATTATCAAGGACACTCCCTCTTCAACCCCGGATTCTCTCGAGGCATCCCTTCCTGGTGAGGGATTGTTGTTTCAGCACATGCTCGGGACCAACTCCGTTTGTAGGAACCAGGTGTTTCGAGTTGACGTAGGGCTGTCGAGTGGCTAGCCAACACTGCTCCTGAAGTTTTGGAAATCTGACACGGCACTAATGTCTGGTTTCTCTCGAAAGAGAAGGAGAAGCCACCGCAAGCATCGCCTGGTTTATAAGTCGTAAGTTTGAATATCTTTGTATTCTATGATGTGTAGCAAGTGTTGGGAAAGGATGGGAAAGCTGGCATCAATCGGTTTGTTGCAGTAGCCCATGGATAAAACTGTAGTTCGTGGATAGATGTATGACATTATAGTCAGCATTCCAGAATCAATCCTAAGATAAATTTGTTTAGAATGATCATGTTAAAATAAATGGTGGCGCAGTTGGTCAGCGCGTAGGTCTCATAGCTGCTGAGAAATCCTGAGGTCGAGAGTTTGAGCCTCTCTCATCCCATTGTTTTCAAGTTTGGTCTGAAAAGAAACTTGGATCATTAATGACATGTTAAGTTCAAACAAAAACTAACAAAATTCACCTACATTGTCCAGAGTTTAATCAAGCCTGCAAATGATGGAACTGGCTGAGGAGAAAAGGAGTTGTTTCCAACGCTTCTGTTATGCATACACACATGCATCAGGTCAACTCCAAATTAAGAAGAAATATTACATTAGTTGGAGAGCTCTCAACCCGCTTAGATCAGGTAACGTTCCAGTAAAAGCGTTATCATTGATGTGTCTGTAAATGAAACAAAACTTGAGTACAAAGTAGTTACCATATTAGCTATTTAAATTTCAAAGAGGGTTGATATCCGCCCCAAACTGCTCAGCAGTGATCCAGCAAATCGATTTTTGTCAAGTCTCCTGAAAATACACTATTACACGAGATTGTATTCTAGCCATCAACGGCTTACATGATGGTCAGCTTGGAAAAGTTTCCAATTTCATCGGGAACTTCTCCAGAGAAGCCATTATTGTCCAGTAACCTGAAGGACAACAGGTCCAAAAACCTCCAAGAAAATGAGAAAGATACATACAAGTGCTTGAGTTCAGGTAAGAAACATATTTCTGGCGCATCCACCTCTTTGTAAACCACCCAGCATTTGCTGGGCAAGTACTGGCAAGTATTATATTTGCCAAGACACATTTGGTTAAATTAACTATTTAAGGAAAGTGTTTAGATTTGCTAATAGAAATTATTTTAAACATATGATCATAACCTAGCACCATTTTATAGTTAATTAATTTTCAAACTTATAAGTGACAGCAAATTTAGCATTACCATATATATGGTCAAACGAAATCTAATTTACCTTTTTACATTAGGTTCATAATTCTTACACCGATGAATGGACGTGTCTTCACCCGCTCAATCGGGGCTCAACGAGGTGAGATTGAGCTGGATGGTCGATTGCTGATTCAATTCCTAGTTCCAGGCGATTTCACTGTCGAGGCCAGAGATCAAGATCTTCAGCTTGGATGTCCTGGAGCAAACCGCTGCCAAAGGTCACCGGCTTGTCACCTCAGTAGCCGCTGGAAACAATGTCCTGCTCGTCGGTACTAGCAGCGGCTGGATTGTTTGTCATGATTTTGGAGGCGAGGATAACTTAGGTGAGTCTCCAAAAATATCAAGGAAAATTCACGCTCGCTTTCTTTGTTTCTTCTGAAAACTGTGAGCTTTTTTCCCGTGATCCGATAGAGTTGGAGTTGAGCCGCGGAGCCGATCAATACGTTTGTAAGGTTTTCCTGGATCCCAGTGGAAGGCACTGTCTAGCAAATCTTCGGAGCAGCAGTGGTGCCGAGACCTTGTACATCCATGCGAAATGGAAGAAAGCTTGTGCTGTTTCTCGGCTCAAAGGCGTGCTCGTCAATGCTGTTTGCTGGAACAAGTCCCAGCTAAGCGACTGTAAGTAGTGAAGATTTTCCACTGCCTGCTTGTGCTGCTAAGGAAGTCAATTTCATGACAATGCAGATTCATCAGGAGAGATTGTGCTTGCAACTGCAAGTGGACAGATCTATGAAATGCTCGTAGAGGAGAAGGACAAGAAGGAGAAATACGTGAAAGTTTTAACTTACGGAGCTCAAGGAGGCGTTTATGGGCTTGCAGGTATGTTTTGCTGTTACACTAATGGTAAAATGAGAAAAGCTGAGCTCATGAAATCAGCATCTTGTGGTGTTGAACAACAGCAGCAGCACGTTCCAAGGTACCCAAGCTTGCACACAGCCCAGCTTGTATCAGGACCCGTCAGAAACTAGCATCTTGCTCCATCTCCCCCACCCAAATGTGATCTCTCCATCAGCGTCAAAGCCCTTTACGCACAGAAATTCCACGCCTAGTGCCCAGCAAGAAGAGAAGCCTCTTGGCATCATCAGCAAATCTCCAGCCTGAGGAAGCCTTCCCTTGTAGCAGCAGGAGAACCGTTTAGGGTTGCCTAAACAAGAAAACCTCCATCTTGATTTTTGCAATTCAGATCATTTTCTTCCTTAGTTTTAAACATGGTGGGCTGAATGGAGGAGGAAGACCGAAAACTTTATCATCATCGCTATACATACACAGGTGAGAGTTGTGAATCCGCCACGTGTCACCACGTGTCTCAGCCGTACAGTGATCTCAGATGTACTACATCCTCACAGTCCATGGATCATGATGCCATTTCAACAGTTAGCACATCTCAATGCAACTAACTTTGGCAACAAACAGCGCAAGAAGTTATGCATTGCGTTTGGCTTCTTAAGGATATGTCTAATTTAGCTTCATTCTATCTAATACATGTAAGTTCCAAATCTTGGAACATAAGCATAGAATACAGCCTCCAGATATAAATGTTATTTACACTTGCTGCATTTTGCATAATTTTCTGACATACATTAGTGATGCTGCTAGGCACAATAAACATGGTAAAAGACAATGATGATGCTGATTGTTCTACTTGACCAGAACTAAATAGAGAAGCAATTTATCACATACATCCCCCGGTGGTTTTGTTGGGCTGTGAATGTGAGAATTTAAGAAAACATTAACTGAGCGAAATTAGGGTTTAGGCGAGCAAGCAAGCGATTTCACTCGGAGAGCAAGATCTTCAGCTTGCCAGAGGTCACGGCTGTAGAAAACAGGTGAGCTCATTCTTTTTCTCGTAATTTTTGCAGGCAGGATAAGCGGTACAGGGTAAGGTGAATCATGTTTTATGCCAGGACATCAACATCCAGAAAATACCGGTGTTCCGCTGGAGAGTATCTGCCAACGATGCTCATGTATCGAACTTTGTTCCACTGCAATCCGGACACGCTGCAACAAAACGATGTAGGTTTGTTGGATGGAAACGAAAGAAACGAAGAGCTTCATATGTACAAACCTCCAGCCACACGTTGGTGCCTTCCAGCATGTTCGTTAAGGTCATGCCCAGCTCACTCTTTGGTGGTGTTATGGCCATCATACCGTGGAGGTTCTATGAAAGCTGCTCCAGGATCCTCATCTTCCGAGGTGATGCCCATCCATTGACGTCTTTGAACAGCAAGACGGCAGTCTCGTCGATCCAGACCAGCCTGCGAGCAGTGTCTTCCGTGAAGTTGGTGTTAATTTTCTCGGTCAGTGCCATGAGCATCGATTCACTGAAGACAAGCAGCACGGTATGCTCTACCTGAGTTGACAAAGGACGGGCGTGATCAGCGGCCAGAGAGCGTAAACAGATTACCTTGGTGCAAAGCCACCAGACTGGAAGGATCGTTCAGGGACAGAGCTTTCTCGAAGGCGTTTATGATGAGGCCGTTCTTTACCAGTTCGAAGAGCTCGGTCCTTTGATCTGGTTTTGGTAATGGTGCGACCTGGTGAGGACGGTGTGGTACCGGCTGAAACCAAAGGTGGTGAGCTCCAGAAGTTACATAAAGCAAAAGAGTTTACCTGGACACGACAAGGCGGGGGATTTTGGGTCCAGAGCTTCTCAGTCGCTTGGACAAGAGAATCCAGGTTCACTCGAGTCCTGCTGTGCAACGAGGACAAGGAAGACGACGAGTACGAAGAAGAGGAAGATGACCTGGCTGCTTCAACCTACTTGGCTCGTAGCTCGTCGATGGTGTCGGTGCCAGTGATGATCCTGGACTTGAGCTGCTTCAGCCGCTTGCAGATATCGGAGAAGGAAGGCCTCTCTTTTGCATCGTGGCTCCAGCATTCCCGCATGAGCTGCGACAGGAACTCTGGACAGGTGGCTGGTATCTCAGGACGCTCGCCTCGAAGGACTTGCTCCATGTCCATCCCGACCTTGAACGGAGTGTTTCCAGTGACAAGCTGGTAGCTCAGCATCCCGTAGCTGTAAACGTCGGCCTTCTTCGTGTAGCGCTCGCTGGTCCACACTTCTGGTGCCATGAAGTTTCTGGAAAATCGTTCTTTGAGCGGAGAGCGATGATCCGGAAGCTGCCAAGGCTGCTACTGCTGCTGCCAGATAGAAAAGGTTGGGATCTTCACCGTCTACTCGAGTTTAAGAAGTAAAGAATGGTGAGACCTTTGTGCTTTGATATTTATCTCGTAAGTTTCCTTCACATTTTCCCCAGCAGGATGAGACGAAGTTACGAATGGGAATTGGTAAGTTCTTTATGGTTCTTTCGTGAAGCATGGTTGATACTTTTGGCAGGCAGAAAATTAGAACATCTCAATACTCATAAACTACCGGTGTTCCGCTGGAAATATATAGCTTTTTTATTTCACAGTTTTCTTTTCCCTTTCTTCTGAAGTTTGTTCCCATATCGGATACGCTGCGACGACAAACGATTTGAATCAAACGAATAACACGAAGAGCTTCATACGAACCCGAAGACCCACGTTGGTTCTTTTCAGCACGTCCGCCAGCTCCGTCCCCAGCTCGCTCTTTGACGGTGTTATAGCCATCATGCCGTGGAGGTTCTGTGAAAGCTCCTCCAAGATCCTCTGCATCCGAGGTGATGTCTGTCCATTGACGTTGACGTACAGCAAGATGAACAGGATCTCGGCGAACCAGAGCAACCTGCGAGCAGTGTCTTCCTTGAAGTTGGTGTTGATTTGCTCGGCCACTTCCATGAGCATTGATTCACTGAAGGCGGGCAGGATGCTAACCTCCAACTGAGCTGACAAAGCTTTGATGAGCAGCTGGAGGACGTGAATGGATTACCTTGGTGCAAAGCCACCAGACCGTGGAAGGATCGTTCAGGGACAGAGCTTTCTCAAAGGCGTTTTTGACGAGGCCGTTCTTCACCAGTTCGAAGAGCTCGGCCCTGTTATCCGGCTTTGCTGCTGGTGCGACGTGCTGAGGACGGTGTGGTGCCGGCTGAAACTAAAGGTGGAGTTACTAAAACCAAAAGAGTTTACCTGGACAACGGGAGATGGAGGATTTTGGGTTGAAAGCCCTTCAGGTGCTTGGACAGGAGAATCCAGGTTCACTCGAGTCCTGCTGTGCGACGAGGACGAGGAAGACGACGAGTACGAAGAAGAGGAAGATGACCTGGCTGCTGCAACCAACTTGGCTCGTAACTTGTCGATGGAGTCGGTGCCAGTGATGATCCTGGTCTTGAGCTGCTTCAGCCGCTCGCAGATATCCGAGAAGGAAGGCCTCTCTTTTGCATCGTGGCTCCAGCATTCCCGCATGCTGGACAGGTTGCTGGTACCTCAGGACGCTCGCCTCGAAGGACTTGCTCCATGTCCATCCCGTCCTCGAACGGAACGTTTCCAGTGACAAGCTGGTAAATCAGCATCCCGTACCTGTAAACGTCGGCCTTCTTCGTGTAGCGCTCGCCGCTCCACACTTCCGGTGCCATGAAGTTCCTGGTGCCTTGGATGCTAACGGCTTCGATCTGGGAGGAGATGAAGTTTGGCCTCGAGACTCCAAAGTCGGCAATCCTGATACTCACGAGATCGTTGTCTTCTTCGCCAACCAAGATGTTCTGCGGCTTGAGGTCCCGGTGGATTATATTCTTCGAGTGAAGCCAGGCCATGCCAGTAGCAACTTGGAGCATCACTGCCACGATCGACAGCAACGGGAGAGAGTTCTTCTTCTTGAGGAGGTAGTTTGCCAGGTCCATCTCCATCTTCTCCATCACCAGCGAGTACCGCTGCTTCTCTTCATCGAAACAATGGCCGGCGATGTGCAACACGTTGGGATGCTTGTCCGCTTCAAGAACCGCGAGCTCTTTGGCGAAGCTGGTGTCACCTTGAGGGAAGACTTTCACTGCAAACTTGTGACCGAGCCAGATTGCTTCGTACACGGTTCCGTAAGCTCCTTGTCCCAGGTGTGTTGTCAGCTTGAGTTCCTTGTGGTTAATCACTGACTTGTTTCCCAGGAGCATGGAGCAGAGTATCTCTTTGGCTCGTTCTGTCTCAGTCGTCAGGCTTCCCGGCTCTTGGCTCATTGCGAGAGTCATGAGCTCCTTCCGATCGTTCCTTTCGGCTTCTTCCAGCATGCTGCTCGAGTTCTGCCTCATGAGGCACGAGTTGTAAGCCTCGGCAATCCTGGATCTGTGCGAGGTGGACGGTGCCAGCTGAAAGAGATAGACGCTGACGAGCTCGACGCAGTTGTAGATCTCGGGATAAATGCTCTGAAACTCATTGCAGCTTTCCTCGAACAGGAGGCTCCGCGTGATCCAATTGCCTTCTTGGCACGACTTGAGGAGATGGAGGCCTCTGTTAAGGACAGCCACGGTTTCGTCCCACACGAAGGCTGGCCCGTTGCTCGCGAAGTTGAGATCCTGGATTTGCTTGAGGTAGTCTCGGACATAGCCGACCGCCGCGATGAGGATCCTATGTTGGTTTCTACAGACCTTGCTGGAAGTGGATATTGTGCCAAGCTTGTCCACGATTCGAATTGCCTCGAGCAAAGTCGCTGCTGCCATGCCCGTTGGTGATCACTACCAGCACCGCACCATTCTTGTAAAGGTATAGCGTGGGAAAAGTCTACCGTGGACTTTTCTTTTTGAATAATTCTAAGTCCTAAGGCATTTTTTTTTTGTCTGGACTTTTCTTGTTGAATAATTCTAAGTCCTAAGGCATTTTTTTTTGGTTTGGGAATCATACTTTAATCAGACAAGAAAATTGGTGTATGTTTTAGGCCCTTGATGACAGTAGCGGGAGACGATGGTCACAATTTTGATTCCCATTCATTAGTAGTGACTTGGAGCATCACTGCCACGATCGACAGCAACGAGAGGGAGTTCTTCTTGAGGAGGTAGTTTGCCAGGTCCATGTCCATCTTCTCCATCACCAGCGAGTACTGCTGCTTCTCTCCATCGAAAGAATGGCCGGCAATGTGCAACACGTTGGGATGCTTGTGAGCTCCGAGAACCGCGAGCTCTTTGGCAAAGCTGGTGTCACCTTGAGGGAAGACTTTCACCGTGAACTTGTGACCGAGCCACATTGCTTCGTACACGGTTCCGTAAGCTCCTTGTCCCAGGTGTGTTCTCAGCTTGAGTTCCTTGTGGTTGATCACTGACTTGTTTCCCAGGAGGATGGAGCAGAGTATCTCTTTGGCTCGTTCTGTCTCGGTCGTCAGGCTTCCCGGCTCTCGGTTCATTGCGAGAGCCATGAGCTCCTTCCAGTTTAAGAACTAAAGAATGGTGAAACCTTTGTGCTTTGATATTTATCTCGTAAGTTTCCTTCACATTTTCCCCGGCAGGATGAGACGAAGTTACGAATGGGAATTGGTAAGTTCTTTATGGTTCTTTCGTGAAGCATGGTTGATACTTTTGGCAGGCAGAAAATTAGAACATCTCAATACTCAGAAACTACCGGTGTTCCGCTGGAAATATATAGCTGTTTTATTTCACAGTTTCCTTTTCCCTTTCTTCTGAAGTTTGTTCCCATATCGGATACGCTGCGACGACAAACGATTTGAATCAAACGAATAACACGAAGAGCTTCATACGAACCCGAAGACCCACGTTGGTTCTTTTCAGCACGTCTGCCAGCTTCATCGCCAGCTCGCTGTTTGACGGTGTTATAGCCATCATGCCGTGGAGGTTCTGTGAAAGCTCCTCCAAGATCCTCTGCATCCGAGGTGACGTCTGTCCATTGACGTTGACGTACAGCAAGATGAACAGGATCTCGTTGATCCAGAGCAACCTGCGAGCAGTGTCTTCCTCGAAGTTGGTGTTGATTTGCTCGGCCACTTCCATGAGCATTGATTCACTGAAGGCGAGCAGGACGCTATCCTCCACCTGAGCTGACAAAGCTTTGATGAGCAGCTGGAGGACGTGAATGGCTTACCTTGGTGCAAAGCCACCAGACCGTGGAAGGATCGTTCAGGGACAGAGCTTTCTCAAAGGCGTTTTCGACGAGGCCGTTCTTCACCAGTTCGAAGAGCTCGGCCCTGTTATCCGGCTTTGCTGCTGGTGCGACGTGCTGAGGACGGTGTGGTACCGGCTGAAACTAAAGGTGGAGTTACTAAAAGCAAAAGAGTTTACCTGGACAACGGGAGATGGAGGATTTTGGGTCAAAAGCCCTTCAGGTGCTTGGACAGGAGAATCCAGGTTCATGCTGTGCGACGAGGAAGACGATGAGTACGAATAAGAGGAAGATGACCTGGCTGCTGCAACCAACATGGCTCGTAACTCGTCGATGGAGTCGGTGCCAGTGATGATCCTGGTCTTGAGCTGCTTCAGCCGCTCGCAGATATCCGAGAAGGAAGGCCTCTCTTTTGCATCGTGGCTCCAGCATTCCCGCATGAGCTGCGACAGGAACTCTGGACAGGTTGCTGGTACCTCAGGACGCTCGCCTCGAAGGACTTGCTCCATGTCCATCCCGTCCTCGAACGGAACGTTTCCAGTGACAAGCTGGTAAATCAGCATCCCGTAGCTGTAAACGTCGGCCTTTTTCGTGTAGTTCTCGCCGCTCCACACTTCCGGTGCCATGAAGTTCCTGGTGCCTTGGATGCTAACGGCTTCGATCTGGGAGGAGATGAAGTTTGGCCTCGAGACTCCAAAGTCGGCAATCCTGATACTCACGAGATCGTTGTCTTCTTCGCCAACCAAGATGTTCTGCGGCTTGAGGTCCCGGTGGATTATATTCTTCGAGTGAAGCCAGGCCATGCCAGTAGCAACTTGGAGCATCACTGCCACGATCGACAGCAACGGGAGAGAGTTCTTCTTCTTGAGGACGTAGTTTGCCAGGTCCATGTCCATCTTCTCCATCACCAGCGAGTACCGCTGCTTCTCTTCATCGAAAGACTGGCTGGCGATGTGCAACACGTTGGGATGCTTGTCCGCTTCGAGAACCGCGAGCTCTTTGGCGAAGCTGGTGTCACCTTGAGGGAAGACTTTCACTGCAAACTTGTGACCGAGCCAGATTGCTTCGTACACGGTTCCGAAACCTCCTTGTCCCAGGTGTGTTGTCAGCTTGAGTTCCTTGTGGTTAATCACTGACTTGTTTCCCAGGAGCATGGAGCAGAGTATCTCTTTGGCTTGTTTGCTCTCGGTCGTCAGGCTTCCCGGCTCTTGGCTCATTGCGAGAGTCATGAGCTCCTTCCGATCGTTCCTTCCGGCTTCTTCCAGCATGCTGCTCAAGTTCTGCCTCATGAGGCACGAGTTGTAAGCCTCGGCAATCCTGGATCTGTGCGAGGTGGACGGTGCCAGCTGAAAGAGATAGACGCTGACGAGCTCGACGCAGTTGTAGATCTCGGGATAAATGCTCTGGAACTCATCGCAGCTTTCCTTGAACAGCAGGCTCCGCGCGATCCAATTGCCTTCTTGGCACGACTTGAGGAGATGAAGGCCTCTGTTAAGGACAGCCACGGTTTCGTCCCACACGAAGGCTGGCCCGTTGCTCGCGAAGTTGAGATCCTGGATTTGCTTGAGGTAGTCTCGGACATAGCCAACCGCCGCGATGAGGATCCTATGTTGGTTTCTACAGACCTTGCTGGAAGTGGATATTGTGCCAACCTTGTCCGCGATTCGAATCGCCTCGAGCAAAGTCACTGCTGCCATGCCCATTACCAGCGCCGCACCATTCTTGTAAAGGTATAGCGTGGGAAAAGTCTACCGTGGACTTTTCTTTTTGAATAATTCTAAGTCCTAAGGCATGGGAATCATACTTTAATCAGACAAGAAAATTGGTGTATGTTTCAGGCCCTTGATGACAGTAGCGGGAGGCTCACATGAGAGACTGGAAATGGATCAGCACTCATCTCCAGTTATCCCGTTCTTGTCATCCTGGAGAAACAGGACGCAAGTGCAGTCGGACTGAATCTGGTAAACCTTTGGAAATATAAAGGCTCTTCGTTTTTGTATCTGAAGACACCTTGAGGATTGTAATGTTTCCCAACTAATAATTGCTAATAATTGTCGTCCAAGCAACAATCTGTCAATGTTATATGAGTTGATGCCAAATCTACAGGAAATTTATAAAAATGAGGAGTTGCCAAATTTTCTGGGCCACCGGATCCAGCCTATGGCAGCCATCTTGCCATCCAATGGGGGGTAATTGTCAAAAGGTTATTTTGTTAACCATGTCTTGTTAATGTTTATTCTCAGTTAGGGTGAGAAAAGGTGTTATAACACATATCACATGCAAAGTGTTGACTGGTATTGATATTGAACTTTTTGCTGTGGATACTCACTACTTGGATCTAATAATTCCCTTAACGAATTTGATAATTTCTTTTGAGGAAGCACATCTTTATAATTATTTCCTCAATTCTTCTTTCAAAGTGGAATTCATTTTTTTTTTGTTTTGATATTATTCCATTTTTTTTTCAATTTAACAAAATTAACAATAAAAATAAGATTGCATCAAGAGTGGAGATGGCTTGTGATAGTGTTGGGTAATAACTCGTATATATATATATATATATATATATATATATATATATATGAATGTGTCTAGATTTAATTGAGTGTCACAAAGATTTAAAATAGTAGATATATATTGTACTGTGATCATGGGATGAGATTTGAATATATGGTCATTATAAATTCTTGGAACTTTAGGGGATAAATTGGGACAAAATAACCACTAAAGGCTCTCTCATTAAATAATTGTTTCTTTTTCAGTTAGTTTAAGGGGAGAGAGATTGTTGTATTGAAGCAAATGACATAAATTTGATTCCCCATTCATTAGTTGCTACTTAAAATTTAACATACCCTTGGAGCATATATATTCCTACTTCTAGATTGGAAATTGTAAGTATGGGACATCCAAAAGGATATTCTTCGTTTGATAAGGCATTTATGGATGAGGATCAATCCACAGGCAACACAGGTGGATAATTAGTTATTTCATATAGAATAACTAGTTTACACAATAGAAAGATTGATAAATTCTAGCTCAGTAGAGGTTGTTAGTTAACCCTACTATTGATGTTAGTAAAGGTTTGATTAGTTCAGCAATCAGATTATTGGATTTATAGATTGCTTCTCCAACAGGCTCTATCACCATAGCTGTTAGTTATGTCTCTTCCTTTTCTTATTTTGTCAATAAAAACCTAGTAGTGCTCAAGGCATTCCAGAATCTTGGCATTGGTTTCAAAATTGAAACATTTAATTTTTATCCTTTCCAAAGATAGATCACATTAAGCTTTTTCCTTGGCTATCTAACACAATAAGAATGGCATCAAGGGAGGTGAGTGCTGATTCATTCTCCACTCTCTCATGTTGCCAAACTTTATACATATGTGGACTGTGTGAGCGTAGTGTTTTGCTCTTGATTAGCAAAAGAAAAGTAGATTCTTTATTTATTCTCAATTAATAATGCTTAAATCTAGCAAGTAAAATATCTCAAGAAGATGTTCACTGCTTCTTCTGTTGCTGGTCTACATAGTGCTCACCTTGGATATACAAAATGGGTCTTAGGAAGTTTGGAGTGTTTGCCCAAATTGTAAGAGGTTTCAACTTCTCTAAGGTCTCGGACACTAATCTGTCATGCAAGATCATCAAAAGTCTAGCATCTTTTGATTCACAAGCCATCACAAGGACTGCAGCAATTATCTCACTGTTAGACTTTCCCCAAGCATAATAGGGCATCTTTCAAAGCCATGGACAAGCAGCTTATCTCCAAGATCCCTTCCACACAGAGCTTTTGAGACAGTGCTAGAGTCAACTTGTCTTGAGGGAAGTTGGAACATTCCCTTAATATTCCCACTTAAGCTAAGCTGTCTGCACCCCAAGAGCTTGTGTGTGTTGTGCAAACATTGCTTTATGAATCTTGTGTAACACAAAACATAATTTCCTTCAAGCACCTTGATATGGAAAGTCAAGATTTGCCAAGAATACTCCCTATGAAATAGAATAGGCCACCCACCATCTACTTGTATGGAATCCTATCTAGCACTAATTTTTCTGCCTCTAGATCATATCCTTGATGCTTTCCAAGGGGAACGTCATTCTTATGACTTTCCTCCTTGTTAGTAGCTCAAGGTGATTTGTATGGAATCCTATCTAGCACTAATTTTTCTGCCTCTAGATCATATCCTTGATGCTTTCCAAGGGGAACGTCATTCTTATGACTTTCCTCCTTGTTAGTAGCTCAAGGTGATTTGCCATATTGGCACTCCAACTGGATCCACTATTGCTGCTGTCTCCGACACCATCCCCACTTGATGCATCATCTTTGTTATCCTACTAAATTCCCTTCATTGTCACCATCCTCACCTCCAACTGCACTATTATATGTGCCCTAATTGTCCCTTGTGACTTCAGTCAAGGAAAACTGTTTCAATGGTTAAAGATCTTGTGTTGTATATGTCCTAGACTCATTAAAAATGACAACTAATGATCATCTTTGAACCTTGTGGTTCCTGAACACCACTTGCAAAGACTCACATCCAGTTTAATGCTATACCAAACTTTATATGGTGTTCTCCTTGACATTAATGAGGTAAGTTGGCTAAACTGCTATTGGCTTTGCATAAAAAATTCTTAAGGCAATCTTAAGTCTTGTTAGTGAGCTTTTGTTGCCTCCTAGAGTGTGATGGTTTACACTTGCTAATATTGGGAACCTTTATAATGTCAAGCTTGGTCTAGCACTATTCTAGCACTAATCTAGCACTATTTTATAGTTAATCAATTTTCAAACTTATCCTAGAAAATAAGTGACAGCAAATTTAGTACTACCATATATATGAATCTATTTTACCTTTTTACATTAGGTTCATAATTCTTACACCTGGGCGAGTTTAGGGTTTAGGCAGCAATGCTGGATGAATGGACGTCGTCTTCGCCCGCTCAATCGGGGCTCAACGAGGTGAGATTGAGCTGAATCGTCGATCGCTGATCCAATTCCTCAGGATTTCCAGGCGATTTCACTGTCGAGGCCAGAGAGCAAGATCTTCAGCTTGGATGTGCTGGAGCAAAACGCCGCCAAAGGTCACGGGCTTGTCACCTCAGTAGCCGCTGGAAACAATGTCCTGCTCGTCGGTACTAGCAGCGGCTGGATTGTTCGTCACGATTTTGGAGGCGGGGATAACTTAGGTGAGTCTCCAAAAAAATCAAGAAAAATTCACGCTCGCTTTCTTTGTTTCTTCTGAAAACTGTGAGCTTTTTTCCCGTGATCCGATAGAGTTGGAGTTGAGCCGCGGAGCCGATCAATACGTTTGTAAGGTTTTCCTGGATCCCAGTGGAAGGCACTGTCTAGCAAATCTCCGGAGCAGCAGTGTTGCCGAGACCTTTTACATCCACGCGAAATGGAAGAAAGTTCGCGCTGTTTCTCGGCTCAAAGGCGTGCTCGTCAATGCTGTTTGCTGGAACAAGTCCCAGCTAAGCGACTGTAAGTAGTGAAGATTTTCCGCTGCCTGCTTGTGCTGCTAAGGAAGTCAATTTCATGACAATGCAGATTCATCGGGAGAGATTGTGCTTGCAACCGCAAGTGGACAGATCTATGAAATGCTCGTAGAGGAGAAGGACAAGAAGGAGAAATACGTGAAAGTTTTGTTTGAACTTACGGAGCTCAAGGAGGCGTTTACGGGCTTGCAGGTATGTTTTGCGGCATTGTTTCTTCTTTGGCTGACGAAACTTGACTCTAGATCGAGAATATAAGCAGCAGCACTACTACGCGGTACTTCATCATGGCTGTGACTCCGACAAAGCTTTACGTCTTCGTTGGTACGGGCTCGCTAGAGGTATGTTCATTTTGTGTTGTTTGTGAGAACTTTATAACATTTTCATGCTGTGCTTGCAGAGCCTGTTTTCTTCGTATGCAGGCCGTGTTGTCAAGTTCACAGAACTTCCCGGCGAGTTTCAAAAGAGGTGGGTTTTATATACTCCTGTATCTGTTCCTAACTTTCATGCACAGTGAGATACACTTTTATGGAAAACGCTACGCGGAGTCGTTCGCATGGCTGGCTGGACCAGGTATATATCACGGTGAGCTTCATATCACCACCCAAGTAAGGTGCTAAATTTTTATGCTCTGACTGTTCATAAGAGACTGATCTCTGACCATCTCGAGCAGCGAGGACAGTATCGTGGGAAGCAAATGGCTTCTGGAGTACTCCAAGATCAATGAGGATGGCAGTAGCACACGACCTGAGGCGCTTTCATTGACACAGCACCATTTTCTCCTTCTTTATGGAGGGAAACTGAAGGTAACTTGCTATTGAATCGTATCATATGGAGATCTTGAGATGTTTTGACGGTCCCAGGTAGTGAATCGGACCAGTCAGAAGCTTGTAGAAGAGGATTCTGTGTTCGATATGACCGCGCCAAACATGCTCGGACTCTGTGCAGACTATGCTGCTGGGGCGTATTACGCTTACAGTAACACATCTATTTTCGAGGTAAGAAAGTTTGAGGTTTTGTTTCTTAGTTCTCTTTGGTTCTAGATAACTGTACACGATGAGGACCGTGATATGTGGCGAGTCTACCTTGGTATGAAGGAGTATGCTGCCGCACTTGAGCATTGCCGGAACATCTTTCAGAAAGATGAAGTTTACAGGGCACAGGTATTATCTGCGTTTTTCTCCTTTGTAAATAAATTCACAGCTCAATGTGTAGGCAGATGGTGCTTTTGAGGCGAAGAAGTACATGATTGCAGCTTCCTTCTACGCAAAGGTGACCTTTCTTCATGAGCTCTTCCTATCTAATAGAGAACTTTCAGATTACTGGTGTCATAACGTTCGAAGAAATTGCGTTGAAGTTTTTGAAAATAAACGAACAGGTAAAGAACTCGCAAAACATTTATTTGAGCTCTGACGTGTATGTTACTATAGGATGCTTTGCGCACTTATCTCCTCCGGAAATTAGACAGCCTCGGAAGAGATGAACGATCACAAATTACAATGGTGGCGACATGGGTTGTGGAATTGTATCTGGATAAGGTAATTCAAGCATGCATGCAGATATAGAGTCTGTAATTTTTTTGTTTTCCGGATAACAGATGAATCAGCTATTGCTACACAACGACGAAACGCAGTCGCAGTATGCTGGAGTTGTAGAGGAGTTCAAGGCTTTTTTGAGTGATTCTAAGGATACCCTGGACGAGGCTACCACATTGAAGCTTCTTACAAGGCTTGTGTAGGTTGTAACTTTAAAGCTCTTAACTTGTGGTCCCTGTTTCAGCTATGGAAGAAATGAAGAACTTGTATTCTTCGCAAGTCTCAAAAATCGTTACGAGACTGTTGTGAACCATCACATTCAGGTTAATTTGTTCATTAAGTGTTATTAACTGAATTCTCGTACTGTTTACCAGCAACGAAACGCCAAGAAGGCACTGGCCGTGCTGAGAAGAGAGAACGTACCTCTTGAACTTCAGGTACTATGCTTTCTTTTTAGTTTTTCCTTGTGCTAAATCTGTGTCTGTTCCCGGCAGTATAAATTTGCACCAGCGTTGATAATGCTCGACGCTAATGAGACCGTTGAGTTTTGGATGTCGTGCGAAGGGCTCAATCCTCAAAACTTGATTCCTGCTTTGATGCGATATTCTAGTATTTCCCGGCCAAGGTATGTGCTATCCTTGTATGCCTTTTCTGATTCTCTTACTCGTGCAGGGAAGAGGCTCACCAGGCAATCAAGTACTTGGAGTTTTGTGTGCAGCGACTGAAAAACGAAGACACAACCATACACAATCTTCTAGTATCACTTCTTGTGAAACAGGTACCTAGTTTCTCTGCCTTTTCCTCAATTTTCTTTTTTATCATCACTTTAGGGAGACGAAAAAGAGCTTCTCAAATTCTTGCAAGTGAAATATGGTAGAGAACAGCCTGGGAAACCAGATGTTTTTTACGACCCGAACTACGCGTTGCGAGTGTGTCTGGACGAAAAGCAAACGGAGGCCTGTGTCTTTCTTTACAGTATGATGGGATTGCACGAAGAGGCAGTTTCTCTTTCTTTGAAGGTTCGTTTACGTTGTTGTTTTACTTGATGCCATCCTTTTGATTATAGGTTGATGTGGACCTGGCAAAGATGGAGGCCGATAAAGTTGAAGGGGACGAAGAGCTTCGAAAGAAACTATGGCTCTGCATTGCAAAGCACGTGATAAAGGAGGAGAAAGGAACCAAGAGAGAAAACATCAAGAAGGCCGTGGCATTCGTGAATGAAACGCAAGGCCTGCTCAAAATCGAAGACATCCTTCCATTCTTTCCAGAATTCACCCTCATCAACGATTTTCAGGTCTGGCAATCTCTTTTTGTTTCTCAGTAACGACTTAATGACCTTTTGCATCACTTCAGGAAGCAATATACGCGTCTCTGCAAGAGTACAACGCTCGCATTGAAGAACTGAAACTAGAAATGAACGACGACACTCTCAATGCCGAGAAACTGAGAAAAGACATCAATGATCTTTCCCAACGATCCGCAGTTACAACGCCAGACGAAGAATGCGCTGTAAGTTTGTCTTCCTTGTTGATAAACTCTGTTAGTCGAGCTGTGATGGCCTGACCAGGATTGCCGGAGAAAGATACTCGCTTATGACCCCCTCCATGGTCCGGCAAGTCTCTTCTACGTGTTCCCTTGCGAGCATTGTTTCCACACGGAATGCTTGATCAACTACATGTTGAAAACTGGCGAGAAGGCTGAGGTATGCTCCTGTTTTTTTCGTTGTTGAAAATGCTTCAACTTTGGAATGGCAGAGAGATCGGATACTGGAGCTGAAGAAACGAATGTCAGTGCTTGCAGTGGAAAAGCCTCCACACTCGAAAAAAGACTATCTTGCGGAGGAGGAGGAGTCGGGAATCCATCCCTTGGACCAGGTGAGAGTCGAGACACTTCTCCTTAAGTTCTTCTAAGAAATGCGTTGTTTTCGTGAAAGGCTAATGCAGAGATTGCCGAGATCGTGGCTAACGAATGCCCCCACTGTGGCGAGAGAAGTGTTCGTGATTTGTGGAAGCCTTTCGTGCCCCCTCGTGAAGCCGAATATGCCGCGTCATGGGAGATCGTAAAAGTCTAAAACATTCGTTGATGGCAAGTGATCTACGAAGTTGGCGCCACAATAAACTTCAAACAAAGTCACAGTGAGATCATCCCCTTGGTGGCGGAGGTGATGGCGATCGGGCTGCGAACAGTGTGCGAGCTCGCGATCCAGGTGATTGATCCAAAAGACCACATCGATACGGGCAGCGAGTTCTTCGCGGTCGCAGTGATCGTGTAGGAGAGCTTCTGGCCGGTGGAGCTAAACTCGAGACTGGAGGGCTCGACCACGATGCTGATCGAGGAGGGCGCCGTGATCTCCGCAGTGTAGACACTCTTTGGAGCTCCAACGTTGGTGACGATTCGCTCAGTCGATTGAGGAGAGGTGGTGGTCAGTCCCATGAATCCGATGGAAGGATAGTTGAGGAAAGGTGTGGTGGCGTTGCTCTTTGGCGGCTTGCAACTTGTGTTTGGATCGCCTGATATGAGTCTCACTTGTGTTGTGTTGTATCCACTCTCGCAGAGATATGAGATGTAGTCTTGTGGAGTTATGTCGTAAACGAGGCCTGGATCCAGAGCTTTTTGGGGATTGATTTCTCCGGCGCCGGTATCAAAGGGCCCCGAGGTTGATTTGTTGAAGTCGGAGATGGGGGAATTGGTGTTGTCAAGAATCGTTGCTGCAAGCAGTAGTGAAGTTTCGAGTCTTTCTCTTGTGATTTTGATAAAAGAGTTACTCACCTGTGGTCATGAGCGCGGATCTTATAGCAGCGGGACTCCAGTCCGGGTGGACGGCTTTCAGTAGAGCTGCAGCACCCGAGACGTGAGGGCACGACATGGAAGTTCCGGATTCGATGTTGTAGCTCGAGAAGTAGGAAATGTTGTTTAGCACGAAGATCGGAGAGTTGTCAGGCCATGCAGCCAAGATGTTTAGTCCTGGAGCAGTAACATCAGGCTGCCAGTACATATACGTATCAGCAAAAAGAGGTTTTTGAGCTTCAAATGATCACCTTGACTATGTCTGGTGACACCGCGTTTGGTCCTCGGGAGGAGAAGCTTGCAACAACAGGTGCCGGGGTCACATTCGACAAGGTTGTGCTTTTCAGGATCGTTGCTGTGGGATTTCTGCAATTCCCCAAGTTTTAGCTGTTTGTTTCAATGAGAAAGAAACAAGTCTGGCTTACTTTGTGGAGCTTATGTAGGACTCTATTTGTTTTCCCACGCTTTCGTGCACGAGCGTTGTTGGAATAGTGAAAGCGAAGAGAAGCTCTGCGTAAAAATCCCCACTTAATATCACACCGGTTGCGTTTGCGACTGCTGCTACACTGAATCCAACGTCGGGATCAAGAATGCAGTAGACGATGTTGCCTTTGACCTTCGTGGCGTCCACGTAGCCCGCCACGCAGCGGCTGCAGGATGATAACTTCGAAAAACGTTTTTCTCCTGGAAAACTTCCACCACGAACCTGGCATAGAACTTGGAAGATCCGTTCGTAGCTATATTTCCAGCGGAGACCAAACTGTAAGAGCTCTTGGGATCGAAGATATTGAGTCCAGTACCCTGTTTTGAGAATGTTACCACGTCAAGAAAGTAGATCACAAGATATATCTTACCGGGAGGGTGACATTGTTGCCAAGAAGAATAGCGGATTCAATCTTTCTGTCGATGGAGCTTGCACCAACGGTGAGTATCCAGGGAGCAGCATTCGCGACAGATTTTGGATCGGGACCAGAGTTTCCTGCCGAGCACGACACGACAACGCCCTTGGCCACGGCATGAAAAGCTGCAATCGCGATTCCATCCAAGTCATACTGCTTAGGACGTCCTCCCAGTGACACGGACAGAACGTCGACTCCGTCATACACAGCGTCGTCGAAAGCAGCCATGATGGAATTCTCGGACCAAAAGCCACCATTCCAGCATGCCTTGTACATTGCGACTCTGGCTTTCGAGTATCCACCTCTGGCCGTCCCTTCGGCAAGTCCGAACAGGCTTGCTCCCGAAACGCTCACTCCCGTGGCTGTGGACGAGGTGTGGGTTCCATGACCAGTTCCGTCTCTGGAGTTGTTAAATTCCTGGACTATTGGACTGCCTGTCGACATTCCCAGCAGGGAGCGCGAGTTTGATGCGCTTGATGAAGATGAAAGCGGATAAGCACGGCCACCGACGATTTTCCTGGGTGACGAGAGCATGATTAGAAAGCTTAGAGGAAAAAAGAAAAATTTCTGTGAAAAACTTTCGTACTTAGTGCAAGTGAAGAGCTCGGAGGTGTTTGTGATGCCGGTGTTGTTGCACAGGCCCTTCCAGCGAGAAGGCACTGGTCCGAGTCCAGTGTCGTCGAAGCTCTTGGATTCGGGCCATAGTCCTGTTTTGGAGAATCAAGTATACTCACATAAAGTCGAGTATGGAAACTTGTACCTGTGTCTACGACACCGACGATCACGTCGTATGATCCGGCAAGCTCGCTAAATCCCATCTCATTCTGTTGCGGAGCAACCCCGAGAAAATCCCATGATCGCGTGGTGTGAAGCTGGATCGTTTTGCTGGGAAAGACACTGACTACGTTCGGCATCCCTGGCCAGGAAATCTATTAGAGAAAAAATAAAAAAGAAAGAAGAAAGAAGTAAAGGATCATGACGTACTTGAGATGATCTCCGCATGTTCCTTTGTCAATCTGGCGGAGAAGCCATTGAAGCTGTGCTTGTAGCTGTAAATGATAGAAGCTGTTGCCTTCTCCTCGCTGCTCGAAAGTTATCATATTGTCTAAAAGCATTAGCCACTAGAGAAAAAACCCCCGGTTACCTTCCGAGAACGCTGGTAAGGATGTCATTGTGAGAAGCAGTCAGTACGCGCGACTCGGTTTCTCCTTTCCCTCCCATGTAAACAATGTAGTCCTGTGAAAGTTATTAGTTGCCAGGGTGCGAGAAAAGAAAAAAATACCACAGGAGAACTTACTTTCTCTTGGCCATCTAAACTTTCCACAGTTTTGAGGAGCAACAGCACAAACACTGCAGTGAGCTTCAACATGATCCGGAACTGGAATCCCTCGCAAGAGGCGATCGGAGGTTTTAAACCGAGCGAGCTTGGCGGTTTGCTTACAAGGTAGACGAGCCATGCAGAACTTTGAGCCTACTCGCTGGCCTCTACTCACAAAACCGAGCAACAGTGCCACTGTGCGGGGCGGCAGCGGACTCGTCGACCTGAAACCATCTTCTGTTTCTACGTTCCTGTCATCCTTGTCCATTTTCTTGGCCACGGTTTCATAGATCCCACTTTTTGTCTGCGCATCGTCGAGTGTTTGCCTGGCCGTAAGCATCACCTTGTTACCTTTTCCACTATCCCTGCTTGCCAGTACCTACTTCGCCAAGAGCAGTAACCAGGTAATGCCATGATCAGCTCTGGGAAATGTGGAAGCATGGAAGATGCGCGCGGTGTTTTCAATAATATGAAACATCGCGACGCTGCATCGTGGAATTCGATAATTCTGGGATATGCCGAGAGCTCAGCAGGCAATGGTTATGCTTTCCATGGTAAAAACAGAAAAAACTCATATAACTTACAGAAAGAATTTTAGCAGCCTAAGACGGCATCCAGTTGTTGTCGATATACAACTTGCTGGTCGTATAATGATCTAAAGATTTTGTATTTTGCATCGTGGTATTTCTGGACTGTATCATGTCGAGATGGCTCGACTACCTGTTATAAAACATTTTAGATCCAATATCCGCAAAACGAATTCCATATTACCAATCCAGGTGCGTTCAAGGCTTCCATTGCCTCCTTGACATTGTGAAATTTCTTCGCAGCAACAGCTCCAAGGATAGCTGCCCCCAGAAGAACAGATTCCTTTTCCCTTGGCAAAATCACCGAACATCCTGCACACCGAAACTCGTTACAACCATGCTAAAGTGATGTAAAGAAAACTAGCCTGTGATGTCTGCATGTTGTTGCAAGTAGACCTTGTTCTTAGAAAGACCTCCACATGCTAATAGTGTCTTGATCTGTCGCAATATAGAATGATAAGTAGGAATCCACAGGAATACGCAAAATTCAACCTGAAGGCCGTGAGAATTACAGTGCTCCACGATATGGCGCGTTCCATATGCTATGCCCTGTATAGCTGCAAGATAAAGCAGAGCCAGACTTCGTGGATCATCATCTAGGCTCAAGCCACTGATGACACCTCTTGCGTCAGGATTTGCCAACGGTGACCTGTAATAGTCGTTCATGAGACCACCAAAAGTAAATGCCGCCCAAACCTGTTCCCGTGAAAATCTGCAAGCAAGTGTAGATTTCTCGTCAAAGCACCTTGAAAAAGAACGTCAGGATGGGAGGCCAATGTATCAAGAATCTCATTCAATAACTCGTAGATAGAAGTCTCTGATAAAACGTATAGCTTATAAACATGATGAAAATGAAGAACGAAAATCAAATTACACTTACTTTGCAGTTTTGCACGTTCAAGGAGCACGGAAGATGCAGGATGACTGGATATAAGATGGTCGATGAGAGCACCAGTTGCGCTCTGGCCACCTTCGGTTAACCAGAATCCAGGAACCATAGCTGCAGTGCGTCCTTTAAAGTAGTAGAACATCACGTAAAAACAAGAGCCATACCTGACCAATACGGACCCCAGACACCAGGAATAAAAACCTTCTCGGGGGACACAGCCATATGACATGTTGACGTTCCACACACTAGGACCATCCTTTCTGTAATGCTTTCATCTTTGGAAGGAACACCCTCCATAACACCAACGCCGCCAGCATGAGCGTCGATTAGAGCAGTCCCCACCGGAGTGCCTTCCAGGAGTCCAAGTTCCTACAAGAAAAATAATAGCTAAGCCAAAGGCAGTCTTGCTGAAGAGTTTCTTGCCTTGGCCGCTAAAGCACTAAGACCGTTCCCAAGCGGATGGCCTGGGAATGCAACATATCTCCCTGGCAAAAAAAAAAAAAAAAAAAAACCATGAGGAAAACTGAAGTGCATTGAATTACTTGCTTACCGATTTTTGTATATTGTCCTTCCACCAGGTCGGAAAGACCAATTTCTTGCCAGAAAACGTCGTCCCATCCACAAGCTTCCATTGCAACAGTGTCACTATTCGATTGATGTTGAAGATGAGCATGCCCGAGGTATCCCCATTTGCAGACTGTAGTGCACAAGCTTCGAGTATCATCACCAGTAGCCCTGAAGGAAGCCGAAGTGGACGGCCAAAGTTCGTAAAAAGGAAGGAAAATCGAGAAAAAGTACCTGTATGTAAGCCAGTCACTGAGGTCCATCCACCTGAAAGCAACCGCCCACGACTCCGGAAGATTTTCCTTGACCCATAGAAGCTGCAAAACACATATCGATCAAGTTCTAGACAGCAAAATCGTTTTACTTTAGGAGGTTCCATTTCCGGCGAGAGACCACCACCAGCAAATTGTAGAACGGGTGACCCGGTTGCATTGATCCGCTTGGCTTGATCCACTGCTCGGTGATCCATCCAGACAATGACATTGCGTCTCGCATCACCCGATATCGAAACGGACACTGGATTGTCGTCCGCCCCTATAGCAACTACGAAACAAGCAAAGTAAAAACAACTAAAGTTCTTCATTCGTAGTAAGCTACTTACCAAGAGAACACGTTGCAGCAAATCCAATGCCGCAAACTTCCGAGCTCGAGACAGCAGCGTTCTCGCAAGCCGCCTTGACGGCGGCACAAACAGCATGCCAGATATCTGTGGACGATTGCTATACTCAAATTTTTTTCCCACACAGAAAGGAAAAGGAACAAAGGAAAACGATCCGGTTGAGAGAAAATCCCGAGGAATCCAAGGAAATACCTCCACGAAATCTCCATCCTTCCACATTTGCAATGGACTGCTCGCGGTCGCCAAGAGCCGGCCGGAGTGATTGAAAACACCTGGAAGGATTGATCGATTCGATCGATCAGTATGTTTCAAAGGATGGAGGATCGCGATTCGATCGAAAGACTCACCGGCGCGGGCGCTGCCTGTGCCGACATCGATGCCAAGGTAGACGCTCCTCGCGATCGACAATCCCCTTCCATATCCGCTGCTATTACTAGGGTCCATCGCGCATCTTCTATCATAGCATCTATTCTATCGAATTATAATCCAAGACGAGAGAGATCGCGACCGTTGAGAGCAAATGGCTGAGATCTCTTCACGTGAATGAGTATTTTAGGGCTTATGGATTCTCGGCTATGGCAAGCGCCACAGCTGCGCCTCCATCTGGAGCGCCTGGAGCACAGCCTGGAGCTTCTCAAAGCCGTGTAAGTGATCCTATTTTCTTTCCTTGAGAGCCCGGCGCCGATCGATCACAGGTCTCTGGAGCTGGAAGTAATCGCTGCAAGGCGAGCCGAGGATGAGCGCGTTCCTGGGCAGGGAGAGGCTCGTGCCCTCCTCTTTAGTGACGATCCGAGGAAGCAGTGCATCGATGGGATTCTTTGTAACGCGGTTCGGAAGAACAGCAATGAGATCGATGAGGCCGAGAATTTGGCGGCGAACGCAGCTCGGCATTTGCGGCGGGAGATCGAGGGGCTTCTTCTTCCGCTGCAAGGCGTGGTGGATGGAACTGCGGCGTGGGAGCAACTCACTGCCGTGGCGAAATTTCGGGAAAGGAGGATGAAATTGAAGAGTAACAGGAAGCGTCGCAAGATCAAGAGGCAGCACGAGGCCGAGAAGAGGAGAATGGTAAGTTCTTAGATTTCATTCTTTCTTTCTGGTTTCCTTTTTTCTCTTTTGTTCTATAGGTAGTTTTATGCTTCGTTGCTTACAATTCTTCGTTGTGTAGGCGGACAAACTTTTGGAGGAAGCCGATCGTCAAGCGGAGGAATGGAGAACTCGTGAGTTTGCGAGAGACATTGCTAAGAAGAAGGTGTGGTGGTTTCTAGTCCTTTCTTCCTTCGTTTCTTGTTTGACAGCAGGTTTGCTCAGATGGAAGAGATGAACGATGTTGCTCTAAAGAAAGCGAAGGAGGCGCGGTTGCGATTGGAGAAAGAGGTATGTCTGTTTTGTGTTACAGCCTTACACTGTTTCCCGTTTTTGTTTGCAGATGGAAATGGTGCTACTTGTTGAAAAACTCCAGGAGTTGCGTTCACTTCGCGTCCAGAAACTTAAGAAGCAAGGTTGGCTCCTTTTCACTCATCTCTGGTTTGACATGGCCGCTTTTGTGTGTCCCAGGCCATCTATTCCCAGAAGATGATGATGCATTCATGGAGGGCGTCCGTGCCGCAGTTGAAGCAGAAGAGCGACAGGCTGCCGGAGCTGCTGATGAAGCCTTGCCTGCAAATGCCGAAGCAAGGAATCCTTCCACGGACGATGAAAATACCATCAAGGAAGCACCTCCGCAGCCCAGTAACACGAAAACAAGTGAGGAACCGGATCAACGATTGCCGGCCGACCTCTACCGCTACTACTATGGTAGCAGAATCGACATGGGAACGCTGATAGAGGTTTGAGCACGCTTGCTATCTCGTACTTATAGCAAGCTTGCAGGTCCGAAGAGGCTGGGACACGTATATTGTACCTGTTGGGAGGTACTTTGCAATCGTCTTTTTGGAGTTTTTGACGCAAGTGTGGTGGCATTCCTTGCAGTCGAATTCCTGGTCACTGGGTTCAGCCTGTAGCTCCTTCAAGCGAGGCTTGGGCATCTTGCTTGATAAACAGAGAACTTACTCTAAAGCTGGATTCTCCACCATCCCAGATTTTTATATCAATGCCAAAAAATCGTGACTGTACAAGGATGAACTCCGGGTAAGCATCCTTTGATCTTACATGGATCTCGACATCCAGCCAGGAACAGCCAGTGACGACTTGATTCCCAGGCCCTGAAGAATAATCGCGTACAAAACATGGAGGAGGAACACAAACGATGCGCAGTTCACGATAAGCTGGACAATACGACGAAAGGTCAGCGTTCGATCTAAAACTGGGGAAAACTTTACCAGGGACGTGAACACAGCATAGATGGTCGGCATTGTAAGCGAGATGTTGATCCCCATTGCCGCCACCATGTACGAGAGGGAAGCATGGGTGTTTATGGTGATCTGCAAGAACATTTGGTCAAGGTAAGGCAGAGAAATGAATCTCTTTGTACCAGGTTGAGGATGTTTTCCTTGATCAGCCAGGAAGACAGAAACACAAAACCAATCGCTCCAAGAGCACGGACCTGAAACTCTAGAACAATGAAAACATCCAGCCAAACGCAGAGAGTTCCGTGCATACCAGTGTACAAGCAAGGATGGAGACGCCCCAGTTGATTCTCCATCTGAGCAACGGCAGCATATCAGAATGGAAATCTAGCGAGCGAGCGATTGTAGTACCTCCACAACGCACCCATCGCAACGCCGAGAAATCCGTGCATGAGCTAGACGAAGTTGTGAGATATCCAAATCTGTGAGGAAGTACTTACGACGTAAGAAAGAGCCTTGAGAGGTCCAGCAATGACAAGAAGAAGCAACGCTGTGGTCACCTATGGAACAAAGAAAAAAGAATGGCTTTCGAGCTATATAGCAAAGATGAAAAACGTTGGTACCATTGTTTTGCGACCAGCGGCAGCGCCCCATCTCATCGCGGAAATGACAATAGGAAGTGGAAAGAAGCATCCAAAGTAAGACTGTGGAGTGGAAGAGACGAAGGATTGAGAAGAGAGAACGAGGAGAGAAGCTTACCTCGAACCGAAATAAGTTGCTTAGGAAATACGCCAAACCCGCGGTCGATGCAAGCATCGCGCACTCGACCAGCCTGAGCGTCTTTTGCATCTCGATCTCGCTGACAGCACCGGCGGCACCATCGAAAGAGATGAAATCCACAGACTGCTGCACCGAAAAGGCTCCAATCGCCTCTTTCCTTGCCCACAATGTTGGAAGCCGAGTCTTGCTCCCTGTGAAAGAAGTAATCACAGTGCTTGTCAGCTCGGGCACGAATCGTCGGCGCTGGAAATGCGTCGATTGAGGAGGAACTGCATTGGCGACGCTCGCGGGAATGGCGAGCCACAACGCTCGCATCGAAGAGGAAAATTATACCCTAAACGAGAGCAAAAATTATAGAACATCTCGCGCCAGACAGGGGTCGAACCTGTGACTTTCTGCTTAGGAAACAGACGCTCTATCCACTGAGCTACAGGCGCATATCAGAAAGTGTTCCACATGTCCGCTTTTCTAGCTCTTTCAAATGATTAGCTTTAGGTTTTAAATTTATTCAAAGCATTTGTTTTTGTGGATTTAGCAGAATTCGCCTGCTGACCAGACTTCAACAGCTGGAGCACCATACCTATACACACCAACCTTGCATTTGGGTCCAAGAGCAACAAATGATAAAGCAGTGCATATAGAAGAAGGTATGCAAAAAGTAAAACTTGACCAAAATGATGATCCAAGTGATCCATAAACTACCAGATTTCCATCTTCTTGCATGAGTGCCCAGCAATCAAACCCAAGCCCATGAGTTTTAGAGCTCCAAAGTGATTTGCTAGTAGTATATATATAGATGATCAGATTGCAAGTGTAATCCATGAACAATACAATTACTCCAATTTCTGGATCCCTTCCTAAATGAATTTGATCCCCAGGCCCAAGCCTTGAAAAAGGGTTGCTCCTTGTACCACTAATAAGTATTGTTGAGAAAGGGTTGCAGAAATTAGGTGATATGCTTCCTTCTATACTAAAATTGACTGATTGAAGATCAATCCTACTTGGAGTTTCATTAGTGTCAGTGACAGTTCTTCTATAATTGTGAATTACATAAGAGACTCCAAACACCCCAATATCAGTGACAATTAGCACAAGGCCAAAGGCAGGACGAAATAGAAGAATCTCACTAGCAATTCGGTCCATAGTATCTGCAAGTGTTGTGTGGATTATCAAGTTAGAAACTTCTCTAGTTCCAAGAACAATCCCACATTGTGGAGTGAAGGCACTGAAAAAGTAGAAAGCAAGATCAAACAATATTCTTTCAACAGGGACTTCTGCAGAAAAGGTAGACCCTTCCTGTGTATTGGCATGTTCTCGAAGAGGAATTCCAAGCATCAAAATCAATGACAGGTGCTGACCAATTTGTTGTGCTTGATTTGCACTAAGTGCTGACAGATCACCACGCAAGTGAACATAATGATATATGATGGATTGAGATGGAAAATAAAAACATATACTCAAGAAAAAGAAACTTATAATACCCTGTAGCTTCATCATCTTTAAGAAATTCACTTATTGGATATGTATAATGTGATATAATTATATCTTATATGTTGCATGTGTATGATATATCTGCCCAACCTACAAATTAAAATAAGTTCTTATCCGCAAGAAGTTCCAAAAGGTATCCTTACATGTGTACCTTTCTAGTTGTGTTGATTGCTATTAGAAATAGTATAGTTCCCTATATAGAATCCTTTCGTATTTAATATTTAATTTTGTTGTAATGCAAACTACTTCTGCTATTATTTAATATATTAAATAAATTTTCATGGGTAATTGAGATGGAATAAAAAACATATACTCAAGAAAAGAAAATCCGCTACTTCATTAATCTTTAGGTAAATCCTATAATTATAATAAATTCCATCAACTAAAGAATTTAAAAGTGACTAGATAAATGTATTTTATTAGTTGTTTTACTTAATTCACACTAAGTCCTTCTCCATCCACGCCCATGCTCACCAACACTACCACTAGGTCAAAGTTCAAAAGCCCGACCACTAAATTCTATTGGCTTTTGGAAATTCCTCACTACATGACCATATCTTTTATATCATCACCCACCATATAAGTATACCCTTTTTAAGTTATATTAACATTTCTTGGCCAAATTGGCTCTCTTTAAATTTAACCCCCACACTCTCCCTATTATACTTTTGAAACCCTTTATAACCCCCCCTCCTGAGGGATGATGGCTTTGGGCTTTCACCCCATAACCTATATTAGTGTTTGGATTTAGATTTGAGCTTAGTCTCAGTTTTAGTCTTGGTTTCAGTCTCAATTTTGATCTCAGTCTTGGTCTTAATTTTGCGCTTGGTCTCAAGCTCCATCTTAGCTCCACTTTGGACTCCATCTCAGACTCCATCTTAGATCCATTTTAGACTTCATCTTAGACACCATCTTGGATCTGTCTTGAACTCTATCTCAAATCCATCTCAGGCTCCATCTTAGACTCTTTCTCGAATTCCATTTCGGACTCCATCTTATACTCTTTTTAGACTCTATCTTTGACTCCATCTCGGATTCCTTCTCAAATTCAATCTTGAACTTCATCTTAAATTCCATCTTAGACTCTTTCTTGGACTCCATCTCTAACTCCATCTCAGACTCCTTCTCAAATTCAATCTCCATCTCAGACTCCATTTTGGACTCCATTTTGAACTTCATATTGAACTTAATCTCAACACTTCTACATGTCATGATATTTGCCATATATTAGTCTTTCTTGTGTCCCTTTCTAAAGACTCATTCATCAATCATTATGGTGAAATAGCTAAGCAACCCTCTCCCCAATCAAGCATCACTAATGATGATTTGACCCTTATTGCTACCACCACCGGTATGGGTGGAGTAGAAGGATGTCAACCTAGGCCTAACAATCTGTATATAGGCAAGATTGGGCATTTGGATCATTGGCCTTCCCACTTGCCTCTCCCCTAGATGAGCACACCCCCAAGGAAAGTGTGTTTGGTCAGATCTAATAGACAATTCTTGTATTCATATGCCCTACCCCATATAGACCCTATCCTTGGCTGCAATGGCCTTTGTCTTACCCCACTTATTGGGGTAGACCACTTGGCAGAGCAGTCCACTTGATGGTGTTGACCCACACATGATTGAATAGGGTAGTGTGGGCAGCCATTGCACCACCAGCTGCAATGGGTTGGTTGGTGAAAAGGATTGAGGTTGGCAAGGGTGAGTGGGGTGATTGCCCTATGAAATTAATATATAACAAGAAGAAGAAGAAGCATATCATCAGCAAAGCAATCATTGTAATATCATCCTAGTGACATTGATGGTAATATAATTAATGTGGGCCATGCCCCTAAAGATGAGTGCACTACTGTTTGTTGTGGACCAGTGTAGATTGATTGGAATATGTGTTATGGACATTTTTCTAGGCATGGGGTATGCAATTATTTCATTGATCATTGGCTCGGGATCATCATCAAACACTGAAGATAGTGGTCTTCACAAGCCTATCTTGATGCTTCTTCCAACTACACCAAAATAAATCAATTTGAAGACAAATATAATCCACCCTTCTATTGCCATATGAACCAAAGCTACTCAGGCACTATTGACTCTAATGATAATATCCCCCATTGCCCCAAAGGACCATTGTATGAATCAATTCAATGACCAAACCTTAGAGGCTGCAGTAGGTGCACAAATAATGGATTTACACATACATATTGACACTTTCTTTATTTACCTATTGGGGATCCCACCAGAGCAACACCCAAATCCTCTAGGCTAACAGGTTCTACCTGGTATATTGGGTAGTGTATCTAGTGGGGCTTTCTAGGCACCCGGTGGGGTGTAGTGGGGAAGGGGTGGCAAAGGGTGGGGGATGAAAGGGGTCATAGGAATGGCTTCCCTTGGGTAGTATTAGATGAAATATATTATATATAATCATTTGAACATTATCTAATAAATTGGATACTTTGGATATCAAGGCAATGGTAATTCATGTATACCTAAGGTGGATGGTCCACCTCTTCTAGCTGTGGATTAGGACATTGACAACAAGAAGCAAAAGCCTATATATTAATTGAAGCTAAGGGAGCAATAGCATCTATAGAAGTTGTAGACCATTTCACAAATCAAATAGTGATTGGATTGCCAAGCAAACTTTATATTGCTTTATAGTATAATGTTTTAATATGAAATAATATACCTATGTGGCATAGTGTAGAATATAAACAGTATAATTAAGATTGAATTTGGTCCCATTCATGACCATCAATTAAACATTAATATAAAATGCCCCAGTCATTACAGCTAAATTCTTTTGTGTCTAAGAACGGGCTGTTGTCCACTGGGGAAGTTTTTCAAGGGGGGGGGAACTTTTAACCTTATTCCATATACCCTACCAATGACATTACTCTAGGATTGGGAGGAATTTGGTTTGCCTCCAAACTTTTTTTTACAATGGGTGGAACAAACTAATAAAATGGTGCCACAAATAAAATAGCAATTATTATTTATAAAAGACAAAATGAATTTAGTTGAATTGATATATTTCTTAAGGGGGGATAATATGTAACCTTAAAATTTTAGATGGGGGTGGAAGGTGGATGTATAAAACCCTGCAAGACAATTCTTCAAAGGGGGAACTTTGAATTCGTTCTTTAGAGGAACTTTTAACCCTTTGTTCCATGCATCTCTCAAGTGATATGGCACTGTGGAAAGGGGCGAAATTAGTTCCCCTTTGTCCAAGAAAACAACTAAAATTAAATGGCATTCATTACCTTGGCAAAATTTATATTAATGATATGGCTTTTTTAAGGGGAAATTTGTGGAACTTTACAATTAGTTATGGTCAATGGACCACCACTAAAGGTCACAACTGCAACCTTTGGACACAGGTCTCCCTTCACACGCTCCCTTCAACTTCTTCTAAAGATGCTTTCTAAAGCTAGCCAAACATTCCTCCTCCACTTTCTGCCTCAATCATGGCTTTGGCTTGTCAATGGATCCTCCACAAGTTTTCTTTTGTTGTCATCACACGCAGGAAAGGGCCAAAACCAAGGTGCAATTCCAAAGGATACATTGAGAGCCTGCTTGGATACTCGTTAGAAGCAAGTCACGTCCAACACACTCCCATGGAAACGAACTTTTCTCTTAAAGGGACGCCAGTCAAACAAAAACTATATTATTAGTCAAACTGGAGGAAAGAACTTGTTGAGATTGAAAGCAGCTTGTAAAACTCCTCGTTCCTCTTGTCAGCTCCAAAGGTCCGGAAGTTCTTCCACCAATTCACTCCTCTATCCTTCTTTGTCACCTTAAGCTTGAGTATATTGTCGAGGACGACGCCAACGATCAGCGCAATCACTGGCCCGGACGAGAGAGTCACGTTCAATATATCGTTAAACTGCGTGATCAGACTCGGAGTTTAGTACCCGAGTAGTGATTCGCAAGACTTACCCAGTGTGATTTTGGGCCGTGTCCAGCCGAGATTGTAAACTCTCGAATGTATTCCGGCCATGAACACGGAGAAGCCGAGAATGATCAAGTTGCGAGGCAAGCTGAGGTTTGTGAACTGGAGATACGAGACACCACTCGCAGCTAGGATAGAGAGATCAAACGTTACGTTCAGACGTTACGTTCGAGAAAGAAAACTCACCCAAGACTCCGAAGAGCACGCAGTAGATGCCAGCCACCATTGCCGCGGGGATCAATGCAAAGATACCACCGAACTGATCCCGAGTTTTCCAAACCTGAGAAGTTCCTACCGAACAAGCTGAAAAAGATCATAAAGAAAGCTGCGACTTGGATGGTTCGTCGACTTCCAACTCGAGTGATACCAACAAGCCCCGGATTCTCACTGCAAAAAGATCCCACCTTTACAAACGAGAAAAAAGAACTTACACAGAGATAGTCGGATCAGCTGCCATCCCAAAGATATCATTTATAAAAATTTCAACACCCTGTGAATCGAAAGAGTGATGGATCTTATGCAAAGTTTAAGAAAAGCTGTGTCTACAAACCTGCCAGCCAATGCCACGGCTCAGGATGTACGAGGGAGGTGGCGTAGCACCAGCAAGCCGTGCAATCCCATAAAACGATCCAGTCGACTTGGAAAGAAAAGAAAATAGCCGAGTGATCCCTCTCGAGTGGATTTCAAAAAAAACAATAGAGCTTACTTCGACTATGACACAATGGCACCGGCAAGAATCCCAAACGCATGGCTCGCGTTGAAAGTTGGAGCTCCCCATTCCAGTGGGTATGGAACACGAATCCTACAAACAAGGAGAGAGTTTTAATCTTGTGACAGTTTCATGTTCATACCATGCGCTTGTAAGCGCCAGTGAGCGTAGGCCCAGGTGAGAGCCACGGCGATGACAATTGCAAAGCGCTCTAAGAATGGCATCTTCTTGCTCGCCTTGAGCGTCTTGAGATACTGAAAATGCAAGAAACAATCACACAAACTACTCGAGAGAAAATTACTCTGCGTTAAATACCTGAGAGATCAGGAGTATGAGCAGAATCTGCGGGATCCCAATTTGGACGCACTTTCCAAACATAAATCCTCTCTCTACAAGTGTACCTCTCTACTTGTATGGCTTAGAAACAGTAATTTTATTACTCTAGCATTATTTGACATATTCAATCTTGGTAAAAAATATTAATAATTAGAAATGCTGATTGATAACCTAAAAAAAATCAAAATTAAAAACAGTAGGAAGTTTTCAAGTCACTGGGCATGGGCAAGAGTGGCCAGCTTTTGCTCTTTGAGTTTCTAAATCCAGAACTTGTCAACCATACCAGTGTAAGGATCATAGAAACAAATCTAGAGCCACGGATCTACTTGTTGATGGTCAAGATCAAATTTGAGAATTTGTCTTTGCAGCTCTCCACCATATTTGCTAGGTGCGTCAAGTTCTTGACACTCATGCAGCTGAATGCTAGTACTTTGTGAGCCCGTGTAAGTTTTCAGCCAAAGAGCAAGCTTTTACATATGCGTTGACAATGTCCTTGTTCACATCTACCCTATAAAGTTTTCTTTAAAATCTCATATTTAATTATACATATGGTAGAGGAAAGTCCAGATTTGCAGAAGGTAGTCGGGATGGCACTGAATTAGAAATGTGTTCATATAAGAAGGATTGAGCTGACTGTTCCAACTACACAATATCTTCCATATTCAGACATCCTCTTGAGCTTCAATGGTTGGCTATTGCGAACAATAATATTGGTAAGTGGTTCTTGGTTTTCAAAGGTGGTTTTTTAATCACAGTCTTGATTGTCTCAATACCATATCATCTCGGGGAACACACAAGTTTTGGAAGCCTGGAAGCAAAGACCACCTTTGCAACCTCGAAGTCCCCGGATTCTGGCTGTTACACGTGGCGATCCCCACAGCTTCCTCCTTCCCAACGTTGAGCTGGAAGTGGACGACACGAGGAAATATGACCCGACACGAACATGTTCCCGGCCTGGATCACCCCTCTGGACAAAAAGGATCTCCGTACGCATATGAGTTCTCGTCTGATCCTGGAGCACAGGCCAGGAGGCTGGAGGAGAAGAATGGCCAAGCAGCAGCTCACTGAGAAAGGTCTTTCCCTAGTCTAGAATTTTCAATGAGAATTTTTTACTTACATGCTATGCTCATGCGTGCACAGGGAGTAACTGAGGAACAGCTGAATTACAGGACTCCTGTTGCTTTGTGGAAACTTTGGAGTTTGGCCAGAGGTCTTAAGGTTTGCTCTAAGTTCCCTGGACAGTAGATGGATTATATGAGCTTTCGACATAAAATATAGGAACTATACCTTGTGGATAACCCAGGCATATCGTCCCAAACATTCTGCAGAGAACTTAGTTGCTTTCTTTTGTTTTTTTTTCTTTGAATAAAAATTCCTTCCTTCTGTTTAGTAGTTTTACTAAACCTGTGCCCTTCTTATTCAATAATAGTGATCTTCACAGACCCAGCCACTTGGACTTTTGACGAGTCCAAAGCATTTCTTCATCATCAAGATTCGGTCCTCGCCATATCGTTGAGGTGAATTCTTTTTCACATACTCAAACAACTCCATAATGTCATCTTTTGATGCTGGTTGCAACCTGTTATTGAGATCACCTTCAAAGCAGGAGTAGATTGTAGCTTTCAAGCCATTTGCACCAAGCTCAATCAAGGTGCTGACCAGCTCCCCTCCCACAGGCAATGCCACTTTACCGAGCTTTGCAAGGGTGAAACATATTGTGATGCCTGGGACAAAGACGTTGCTATACTTTTTGAACCATTGATTTGGGATAGTGATTGGTACTCCTGGGTACTTCTTCAAATCAACTGGGTGACAGCCGCTTGGATGCTCACATAAGTAGCTAATATTTGCTCGTTTCCCAATCAGTGGTGAATATTTTAGTAACAGATTTGACTCCATTGTAAGGTGTGGGAGTTTCGGACACTCCAGCTTAATGGATTCCAACAGTGATGAGCAGCTCTTGATCAATGTGTTTTCTGTGTCCTTCAGGCCCTTTTGAAGCTTTTGTAAAGATTCTTTGATATCTGTTATGGAGACCTTGCAGTCCTCCATATATATCTGAATCCCCTGCATTTGATGCTTGTGTAATTGGTAGCAAAACTTGGCAAGGTTGCTCATGTCATCACTTTCAAACTTTGGGATCTCGACCTGCACAAGCTGTTGCTGCTGGCTTTGATACAATGGCACTATGTGCTGGTTGTATTCCGTGACAACCTCTTCAACAGCACGCTTACGTGGCTGAATAATCTCGTTGACTTCACTTGGCATCAAGAGTTCCAAGACACTTGTGGAGTCACCAAAACCCCAGGTAAAGTGATAATCAAAGCCCTCCCTAGCTACCATCTGTTTAACCTCTTGCAGTGCCCAAGAGCTCTTGCTGTTTTCATCGCATGACCCCTGTTGTCCCGATGCTTTTCTAAATTGTCTTACCTTCACTGGATTCAGAACATGCTCTTCAAGCTTGATGAAAGGACAGGCCCTGTTAGTTTCCTTGACTACACAATCCCGTATCTCCTTCATGAACTGCTCCCCTTTGAGTCCCCTCTTTTCCTCGTTGGGCACCATCAACATAATATCCACCCATTGCCGATCTGTCCAATGCTTATAATCCCCACCAATAGTCACCAGAACTTGAATGAGATCCTCTTGGAAGGAAACCCAACCAACACCAATCTTACTTCCATGACCCCATCTGTCACACATCTCCTTCACCTTGGCTTGAATAACTGCAAAAACTCCTGCTTTCAACCAACAAACACACAGACATCAATGTTTAATCTCAATCCCAGCAGTGAAGAGCATAATTACCTGATGGGAGAAGAACGAAGCCCTTGATAGTGTCGTCTGCTTGCAATCTCCGACCCCAACAATCATATGTTTGCTCGCTTTCAATCCATCCAGTGAACTCATCACGCAATAATGCAGGCACAATGAGGTGTTCTGGCAGATTTCGTGGCTCTGACCACCTTATGTCCCAGCTCCTCATACCATCAGGAATCAAAACCCCCATCTCACAGAGCAGCTTGAGCAGGAAATAGATGTTGCCCTCTGCAGTCTCTCCAAGTGTTCTGAGAGCTTCTACTGCTTCCTCAGTAGACAACTTGGGTTCCCCCCACTTCATCGTATTGTTTCTCTCTTGCTTAGGAATGAAAATTCCTAACACAGTATGGAGAAACCATGGCATGTCTAGAACTGCATTGTTGACAATCAATGCAGCTTCCTTGTCGTTTGGATCCGTGTTTTGATATGTGTCATCTGCCCCAAAGTAGACAGCTTCTCCCATGTCATGTAGGCAGATGAATGTGTATTGTGCAGCAAATGCCTCATCTTCTTTCTCCCCCTGGAACCAAGCCTTGGACATCTCATGTAGGTCGACCACCCTCTGCTGGACAATTGTTTGTGCCCGTTTGTGGATATGATACCATGGCGTGGATGAAGCCCGCCCTCTGATAACCTCATGTCAAGTCCAGGGAATCACAGGAACTTCATTTATCATTTCGCCCACTGCTATCGCCAGCTTGGGCTTCATTTCCTTCTGTACCTGACGAGCATTCAACCCATTCACCTCGAAATAGTGATCACCACGTTGGCCCTGAACAAAGTCTAGCCTGTCCTTATACTTGAGTACCAGTGACGTCGCAGCTGCTCGAGCTTCTACCAAGAAACGGTCATCACGAACAAAGATGTTGAGTAGTAAGAAAATGGTGGGTTTCCTAGCTGGTGTGGCAGTTTGGTGGGCCGCTATGAAGCGAAGCCAGTATTGGAGCTCTGTTTTCATCTCACCTCCAGGACCTCCAACCTTGCACACCACCATGAAGAGATCTTTGTCGCTGCCCCTGAGGAAATAGTGATGAAAAGCGTGGTAGACCTCCTGGCCTCCCAGATCGTAAATCAGGAGTTTCTTCCTCTCTCCAAATCTGAGAGTCCTCCTCTCAATTCCCACTGTTGATGCATGATCCTGACATGGCGGCTTCACACACTGCCAGAGGGCTGCATAGGGACGGACCAGATTGGTGGAGATGGTGGTCTTGCCCGAGGCAGTGTGGCCGCACATGAACAGCTTGGCAGTTGATGGTGTGACTGTAGCGCTTTGTGCAAGAACGGGGCTCTTATGAAATAGAGCATTCCGGTACTTTACCCTCAACCATCTGTCCTCCAACAGTTTGGAAGCCCATTCCCCGCCAATGCGCAGTCTCTGGATCCGGCTGCTGTAGTTGGCCTCCAAATTGCTGAGAATCACATCTTGACACTCATGTGAGTCATTCTGCTTAAGAAAATCAGTGTCAATACCAAGACGAACATGCTCACTCACCTTTACCCCAGGTAACAAGGAGAAACTTTCAAGCTTGCAATGTGGGCTCTTTAGCAGCTGGCCCACGAGCTGCGCCGAAGATGAATGGAGTGATGTTAACTCCAGGAACCAGAGCTTGGACTTGGCATTGTTGTTTATGCAGTCTGCCAGCAGGGAGATCTCCGAAGGCCCTGGTGAAATTCCAAGGCCTTCTATTGATCCGCTGATTTGGCTGAGTAACGCCCGATCATTTGGGATGTGGACCAGCCTAAGCTTCCTTAGACTTGTTCCAGCCTGGAAGAGGGCGGGCGTCAAGTATTTATCCTTATCCAGGGAGAGCTCCCAGATCTTGCATGCTGGATCTTGCAGCAGCTTCTCCAGGTGGGGCGAGCAATCGCAATTATAAAGCTCCAGACGTTCTAAATACTTCGGAAGTGTTGATCCCGCTAAAGCATCTAAATCTGCGTCACAGGAACGTAGAAGAAGCGTCTTGAGCTTGATTGGCATCCCCTTGTGCTTGGCAGCAGCAATAGCTTCATCCAAGCCGCGAATCACCTCCACGCCAAATTTGTCTCCAAAAATGCCAAGGCTGCTTAGCTTGGACACAGCTGCTTCTAGAAACCCCTCCACTTTGTGGTAGCCCTCCCTCCACATGATTACGTGCTCCAGAGTGTTGTCCTCCTGCAGCAGCAGCTCGCGCAAGCCTTCGAAGTCTTTTGAATTGAATGTTGCTGCTCTGTATCTCTGTTCCTTCAGCTCCTTCACACTCGACACCTCATGGCTCAACATCTCAAAGCGAATGCTTTCCAAATCCTCGTAATCATCTATCCGGGCCTGCTTTGGCTCCCCCATAACTTCCAATGGAATACCCTCAGAAATTACAACAAATGTCGTTGATGAATCAACATCCAAATGACAACTTGGAAGTGGCTAGCAAAGATGAGTCAGTGGCTTGGCATGTTTAAACATGAAATCAGATGCCAACGCAACCCTACGGTGCACGTCGTACAAAGTGGCATCAATCATGCCAAATCTATTTCTTTTTCTTTTGCTTTAAAGGTAATTGTTTTTGTAAGCAATTATGCGTTAGACAAGCTGTACAAGTTTCCTATGTCATCCGATGCTTGAGCACAGGCCAGGTAGCTTGCGAAGAGAAGAAGAATGCCAAGCAGCAGCTCGTTCTCTCACTCGGAGCGTCTCCGAGTCTAGAATTCTACAATAACAACGATTTACTTACATGCTCTCTTGAATGGATTTTAGTCCAACAAAATGCGCCTCCTATATATTTACATGGAGAAAATGAATGTCATTTAACTAGAGAAAACTAAGAAGATCTTCCAAGAAAGAAGAAAAAGAATAAGAAAGAAGACCCACAGGGATAGTCGAATGTTATCACATCCACGGCGTTGGCCGCCGTTGCCAACAAGTTCTTCCATCTTGCCGGAAGAAACGAAAAGAAAAAAGAAAAGAGGATTAAAGGAAGATCCGGAGAGACAAACCTGATCATGCAGTCGGATGAGGATGGAGCCCCAGCGCCGTGGGCGAAAACGAGCAGCGGCACCGGATTCAAGCGCTTTGTTTGGATGGTTTCGAGCTCATCCACAGCGGCCTAGACAGCTTTTTGGTTGAGGGATTTGTTTAGAGTTTTTTTGCGGTACGGGGGACAGAATCAAGTCAATAACATTGACGTGTTCGCTTCCAAGAAGTGTACCTTGGTTTTCTTGCTTTTTTTCGGTTTAGAACATCCGCGACGAAGAACGGGGATACGCAAGCATAGAAAAGCCAGTATATTCGTTTCACGTGAAATCATCGAGTGTGGTACTATGCCGTGGGAGAAACGAAAAAGATCTTTCTGGAAATTCTTTAGACCATATCATTAAAGGGCTCTTTTTTATATTGCTCGAGGTTTAAAGGGTTTCTAGGGTTTAGCGATGCACAAGAACTTTCTTTCCTCCTTTCATAAAGAATCGAGAAACATTAGACTAACAAAGGGTAAATATTTTACTTCTCTGTGTTTTAGGGCTCGTGGCTTTGGAGTGGAGCGAATGGCGCTCGCCAGTGAGCTCCAAATGCGCTAGCTCTCATGCTCCCGCCCGATCGAGCTAATGGACTTTAGGGCCGACATTGCCACGGATTCCAGGGCCGCAGAGGGCGACGATGGGGAAGTACTCTCCCATTGTTTGGGACCTTGACGACGGCAGGAAATCTGATGCGGCGCCGCCCTTGTCTATATTCTCCGAGGCGGTTGCTGTTGGATGTGAAGGAAGTGGTGGTCGGCAGCAACTTGGACAGCATCTTCATGGTGATGAAGTACATGGAGCATGATTTGAAAGGATTGATGAACGCCATGAAGCAGCCTTTTACACAAAGTGACGTGAAGTGTCTCATGCTACAGCTCACTGGGTTTGGCATAGTTTCGAGTTGATCAAGCTCTTGTCTGGAACTTCTGACAAAGAAGGAGCTCGGATCATTATTACAGCGGACGCTGGCGGAACCGATGCGCAGGTAACATCGTGTGCTGATATCTTTTTCGAAGGTTTGAGATTGTTTTACATACATTCCAGCGCGGGATTGGGCTGAGATGCTTCTAAGGATGTACCAGCGATGTGCTACCAGGTCGGGCTTTAAGTCGACTGTGGTGGAGAGTTCTCCTGGTGAGGAAGCTGGGATCAAATCGGCCACACTCGAGATCGACGGGAGATATGCGTATGGTTATATCTCCGGAGAGAAAGGCACGCACAGGCTGGTACTGTGCGTGCCTTTTCAACTCTAAAGGTCTACGACAGGTGAAGCAAAGGTGAAGCAAACGTTAGTTTCATCGAAACTCTTGTCTCAATGTTCGCTTCTCTTCACAGATGAGCTTTGCAGGAGTGGAAGTGATGCCTCTGCTGGAAGAGAGCGAGATCGAGGTGGAGTTACCCGATGGGGACCTTGAGATTACAACGCGTAGATCTGGAGGCAAAGGCGGGCAGAACGTAAAAAAGGTCGAGACTGCTGTTCGTGTGTCCAAGCAGTCGAGCTCCTAGCCAGTGCCAGAGTAAGATCGTTCCATAGCTCAGAAAGGTTGCTTAAACCTTTCTGAAAGTCTAGACATGCACAAGAAGGTTCCATTTCTATAGTTACCTTGTAATGGTTCCCTTTACTATTTAGAAGTACTTCTTCCTTATCTCTATTGTTGTACATGTTGACATTTTCAATATGTGCTTGCATTGAAAGTGTGCTGTGCAATCTTGTTTGAAAATGTGGTGTGTCCTAGCACAAACCTTACTGTGTTGAGATTGTGAAGCTCTACCAGAGTAACCTTGGTATCTTTCATGATTGGCTATTTTTCTAGTGGATCACCAAAGCCATATACCTATTCCAGCTGTGGAGGATGTTATAATTGCAGAACCAAAATGTTTTGAGTGTTTTATTTTCCTTGTATATTATAAAACCTATGATGCATGGTGCCACTATATTCCTTGGAAGTTCCTTTATACACCTCTTCTCACATTCCAAATAATAATAGCATGACCTTCCTGTTTGGTACACAATGTAAAACCCAATGCAAGTCATGAAGTCCTTGACGATGTTTACTACTTGTATTTGTTGTTATGGTTGTTTAGTGTCATTAAAGTTCAAATTCTTTCTTTGATGAAAAATCACAGGCTAGCATGTTGATGTTGATGAATTCTAGCTTGTGTGTGTCATCAACAACAATAGTATATGAATTTGTCATTGCATGCTTTCTCCAATTTGTCTTCTAGTCCCCACTATAGCCACTTTGATCAATGATACCTATATCCTATGTAGCTTTATTGAAGTTTGCTACATCTGCTATTCGTTTCCTAACACTTCCTAGTATGCCATTTTTCCTTGCATAAAGCTCCTGCAATCTTAAACCCAATCCTATATATCTTCCTTGCAAATACAATTTATACCTGATGTATTGAATCAGGGTGTTCAATAAGGGCGTTCAACAAATTATCATAACATGCATCATACAATCATACAAACGGGGTTTTAAATGTATACAGGCCAACTTTGGGGGGACGGGGTTCTAAATGTATAGTAGGGATAATGGGTATAGTTAACTAATTTGAGGTATAGTTTATTGTTCTATATCTTTAAAGTTGTTTTATACTTCAATTCCTTCACTCTTTGGTTATATACTTAGGAGTTTGGTTCTATCCTTTCATTCAATAGCTCAAGACTTTGAAATATGGGTTTTATTTTGTTTCCTTTGGCCTATATGTTTAAAGATTTAAGTTCCACTTCATAATTAATTTTTAATAAATCACTATAGGGTAAAAGGTGAAAAACACATATGTTACATAACATTAAGGGAGAGAAAAACCATTTGGCCATCAAATGGTTTATTTGTCACTTTTTTGATGTAAATTAAGCTTGTGGTTTGTTTGTTTCTTACTTGTTTCTTTTAATGCCAACTAAGTTTTATGGTTTGATTCTAGGTATTTCAAAATGTTTATAGCAATGGGTGGTAGAAAATTATACTAGAGAAGGCAAAATTTGGAATAACAAGGATGTCAACCAATCCATGTATAAAGAAGTGTTTATTTCAATAATGACAGCATATGAGTTTCGATATTATCCTTAGTAGCTAAGTTGGTCAGATGACATATATTTAGAATTTGAGCAGAAGGATTTTGAAAAGCATAGAGGCAAACATAGCAAAGATACACAAACACCATCTTTTGTCTCTAGAAGAAGTCCTCCTACTTATTAAAAATAAAAAACTCAAACAAGAGAAGGAGCATCCAGCAGTCAAGGTGAAGAAGGAACTATGTTTCATCGTCAGAATTTAGAAGTAATTCCTCCTAAACTTTTTTCTTTAGAGTCACTTAGAAGTTCAAAATTAGCTTTTAAATGCATGTCTTTACTCATTTTTATATGAATGTCTTTAATATATTCTCATTTGTAGTAACCTCTTTCATAATTAGTAAGCTTCTCAAATGGAATTATGAAAAAAATTGCTATGGATTACATATGCCAATGCTTGGCTTTCTTAATATTAGAGTCATTCTTACTTATTAATCCAATTAATTAAATAAGTTTAACATTATAAGCATGTTTGTAATTTATAAACTCAAGATTAATCTAATTGCATATCAACCATTAGATGATAGAATTAAAAAGAATATACTAAAAATTATAAACATGTTTATAAATTATAAATACAAGAGTAATCTAAATGAATAACAACTGTTAGATGGTAGAATATCCTAGAATATCCAAGCATATTCTAGGTATATCCATTACCATCCCAGTCCCTCTACAGGTTTACTTAAGCAAACCAAAAAAGAAAATATATAATAACTTGATAAAATAGAGAACATAGTTTAAAAATAACACTATAAAATTAAAACACTAAACTTTTCTCATTCTTCTTCAAAACCACTATCATCCTCATCATCCTAGTTATTAGACATATCACTATCATTGTTCGCAAAAGGAGACTTCACCCCACCTTTAGCTGAAGAGTTTTGCTTGGGCAAGGAGGAGAAACTAGAGTGGAAGTAAGTGCTGGTGATGGATAGTGAATTTTGGTGACGAAACTAAAGAGGAATGAAGTATAAGCCATATGGCCTTATCATCATCCTCAGAGTGTAGTATGGGCTATATGGGCCCATCTTCATCTTTAGAGCATAGTATAAGCCCATCTTCATCCTATGAAGCTAAAAACTTCTAGTGCAAGAGGAGTAAACATAAGAGATTTTGGAGAAGGGGGGCATGCCTTTTATATGTACCCAGATCAAGCACTCAGCTCTAAATTGTACTTGTTAACATTGCCATTGCACAAAATTTTCACTTTTGCTGATTCTCCAATGTACAAACATGAGTTAAGTAATAGTATTTTATAAAAGTTTTTGTTATTTACATAGCTTTAAAAAATATAAATGCCCTTAAGAAATACACACTCATGGTGAGCAAGCTTTTATATGCAGTATGGCA